AGATTACGGGTACATATCCTGGTATCAGAAAGGGATATATGAGAGAAAATATAACTTAGTGAAAGTAAGAAAATCTGTTGCCTGCATCACACAAGCTTCACTATTACCTCTACTTTTAACATTAATTATTGTTTGACAAAGTGGGGCTGTGGCAAAAAGTTTTTGATCAATAATATTAGAGGGTATTGAAATGTTTACACTGATCTACCTTAAGCAGGTTTACATTGCTATAGTTTATCTAATAAATTATACTCAAATCTTTTATTTGATCAATTTTCAGGAAAATAAATCTAGTTCAATTTTTGTTTGTTTCTTCATGAACATATGTAAAGATATAAAAACTATTCTAAAATGAGTAGGAAAGTCGTGTGAGTGGACACACCAGATTTTTTTTTAATATGATAGTTTTTTGATAAAATATGAAGCCATATAAATACAATACAACAGGTGTGTAAATAAGACTAAAAACAAAACAATAATCCATGGCTTAAGATATTCATAGGATTTAACTTTGGATTTACAGCCTTAATCAAGATCTCATGTTTTATTGTGATTTCTTACCCGTTTTTCGAAAGATCTGAATGAAATAAGAGAGTATGAAAGAAATGTGCTGCAATGCACTTCTAGATTTTCCGCCATTCATTAAGAGCGTGGAAAATGTGCAACTTATCTTCTGTGCAATCTGAATACCAATATTCTTGCAATTGATTTTATTTACTTATTTCGTCTTGTTGAGGAATGCTTATTAAACATGAGGTGATCATTGTTTAGTTTACACTTTTCTATTGCAATACTCAATATGTTTGAATAGAATATTTTTTAAAAAGGAATGATAACATTAGACATCGATACCTTTATCTAGTACTTCATATTTCAAATATAATATACATTTTTCTTAAGGCACTTTGTACGAATCGTAAAAAAACAAAAAAAAAAAGTTTGATATGGTGCACAATGAAAACTATTTTATTTAAAACGCAATTTATAATAGCTCTATAAAATATAAAAGTGCTTCTCAAAATATTGGTAAACCTCTTTTATTTGGTCTTTTTATCTAGAACTATTTACTATTTTTAAAAAATCCAAAGATTTTTTTAAACAGGAATTTAATAATTATAACTCAATTAAACTATGAAACATAACATTAGTTTCTTCAGTGAAATCGATTATATTGAGAAGTAAAAATCCAAATTGTTATAGTAGGAAAAAAAGTTTTTCACATGGAGACATGTTTCTTTTTAAATAATAATATGGAGTTGAGCTGTGGGGCTCCACTAAACCATCAAATTCCTCTCGTATCCAATCTTTACAATCCAAAATCCTTCGTAAAATCCTCAATGCTCCTTACTTTGTCACAAATAAAATAATTCATAAAGACCTCAATGTTCCATATGTTTCCGATTTGGCCAAATCCAGATACCTATCCTTCCATAATAAACTTCATAACCATCCGAATCCTCTTGTTTCTAACCTTGCTTCCTATTCGATTCCTGATAACCCTCCGAGGCGTCTGAAAAGGAGATGGCCTCGAGATCTCCTCATGTAGACAAATTATTAGAATGCTACCAGTGGGTGGTTTCTCAACAAGCGTGTTTCATGTGATTATATTCCTATGTACACATTTACTTGATTTATTCATACTAATACAATTGTAAATATCATAATAAAAGTTTAAAAAAAAAAAAAAACTTAGGATAGGTTAACTTCCATAGGATAATTTAATTTCTCAGCAGAATATGGCAGAATCAGAGGCAGCCATTTTCTCTTGGACTCCTTCCATCCACCTATTTCTCTTCCCTGGCGTAACCCAATCCAGGACTGGGTTCTTTCGTATGTCCGTACCATCTTATGCGGCGTGCCCCGATCCTTTCTATTTACTGATCGCATCCATCCTATAGTGAATCCCCTTATTTCTAATCTTATTCAGCCTGGTCTATCTATCTCAACCACCTGTAACTTTGAGTATGAACGGAGTTCATTGTTTACGTTTCTGAAGCAAATGCCAGGATGGATTATAGATTCCACTATGGCTATGAAGATTCGGCGCTTGTAAAATCTTCGTATTCCAGAGGACTGGATGTGGCATTCGGGTAGCATTACGGGCTTCTTCTACCTTTCTTCTGATGTCATATTCAGAAGACCCTGGAGTATCGAAACAAAAATCAAGGTTTTCTCAAAGTGAGTTTTTAAGCCCACCATTTCGTAGCAAGCCTTTAGTGCGAATATCATCATTTCGAGGAAGACAAACATTACATCGTCAGCGAAGAACAAGAACAGCAACTGTTCGTCATCAATAAACGGCCCAATATTCCCATATTGCTTGTACCAAGGCTTCACTGATTCGTGCAGGTATATCTTGAAAATGGTGGGTGATATGCTACATTCTTACCTCAATCCCTTGGTACCATAAATAGGGTCAGAGACGATTCCTAAATCTTATCTGGTACATGCCGTTTATGTATAAGTGTCTCACAGCCCTTATCAATCAATCACTAGTTTCACCCATAGCTTCTCTCTAGGCACATTATCACAAGCCTATTCCAGGTCTATAAAAACCTGTTCCAGATCCATATGGAGTTCCTGTCTCCTTTCTTGGAACTTCTCAATGAGTTGGTGAAGAACAAATAAGTTGTCTATACATGAGCGGGTAAAGTATATCTCCTCGGAGTTGCTCTGAGGCAGCCTCTCCATAATCCTAGTCACGTGACTTTGCCTATCCTCGATAGTTCCGACGAAATGTAGCCAACCCTAAGTCGTCCAGGATATTATCATCTTATATTATTATATGAACAAGGTTAATCTTATCCGCCAAAAAGGTTACTAGTTTTGCACGTCCAGATTTTAGGAACACCATAGCTATTCTGCCTTGTCCTGGAGACGTGCCAATCTTCGCCTTTGGTAGGACCTGCCGAACTCCAGTCTCCTATCAAACAGCTCTCTCCGAACACCACAGGCGGATTTACGGGGGGAGCTTTAAAGCTGAAGCCCTCCCCCAAAATGGTAAAATGTAACCATGCTTTATGGTAAAAAATATTAAAAAATTATGTCTTAAAGTATTATTGCTCGTTTGATTATATTTAATAGTACTTCAAGAATGAACTACCATTTCATATAGGTAGTTCGTATCTTTATGTTTTTCCAATGTTATTATCGTTATGTATATATAAAAAAAAAGCTTCCGGACTGAAGCCCCAACCCAAAATTAAATCTTAGATCCGCTAGTACCAAACACCTCTCTCAAAATGGCCCAAGTGATTCCTCAGCTGCTCCGTCATCTTTTTGATATATTGACTGAGGTCTATCTTAGCTTAGGAGGATTTTCCCTTTGTTTTCTTTGATGGGTGATAGCATTCTTTCCTTTGTTGGTGCCCGCAACTATTTCAGCGAGTCCCAGGACTCCTGGATTCGATTGAACCCTAAAGTACTGTTGGTTCGTTGCCAACATCTTTTCCATGAACCGTTCTTGACTTTAGTCATCTGCTCTTTTACCTTCCGGTTCAGGGTTCTATATGGCACCCAGTCATCCCTCCTGATATTTTCGGTCACACCTTCGGAAAGATATTTTCTATAGGCTATTTTCTTTTCACTTACCAGCCAGGCTAAGTCCTGTGTCCACCAATCCTGCAGACGCCGAACCTCCTCCTCACCAAGAGCCTCTCATGTCGCCAAATGGACGCATTCCCTCAAATGGCCATATTTCTCCTTCGCTTTATTTAAGCTCCTTCGCTTAAATAGAATGAACTTGATAACTTAAAATATTTTCAGATAGCCGGAAAAATGTCTGACGGCTTAAAAAATGCTTTTGATTTTTAAAACCACTCTTCTAACATCCGTAGTCTCTTATGTGGACTCTTGCTTGGAGGACTCTCTTATGGCACACTCAGTCTGAGGAAATGAGTACCTGATCCTTTGATTGGTTGGTCTTAAACGAAAGGAAAAACCTGTGTTTTTCTAAATTATTTCATAAAGTTGTAAACTGATTATGATTTCACTATTAATAGTTGCCCCGTGGGAATAATTAACATGTAAAGTATTATGAGATGGGATAATTTATTTTATTTTCCTCGGTCGCTTACAATGTTTCATTCATAATTATAAATCAAAACATTTGTACAAATAACAATATGCTGTATTGTATCTTTGTTCACTATAGTCCGATTTTGATGATTTTTTTTTTCAGTTTATGGTGAATATAGTAACCTTTCGGAAAATCTTATGCATAAACAATCATAAATTGTATACTTTTTGAGTTATGCTCAAACATATATTCATTTTCTACATAACTCTGTTTTCTGACATTTCTTGGATATGTGGTTATCCTCTCACCTCTCCTCGCCCCCCAACTTTTAAAATGATGACTAGATCATAAAGCGTAACAGCAAAATAAACATTTGAGAAATAATATATAGAGATTTAATTCATTAACGATTATAAACAAACAATCACGGTATAGACTCCTTTTTATCAAATTATTAATATTTCTCTGAAATTTCGTGAATGGCTTAATTGTATCGTAACGTACAACTTTTTCATTCACGAAAATTATCGGAAATGGAACGATTTCTGGAGATAAGTAAACTTTGTCAATTTAGTTAGGTATTAAAAACTTATGAACACCCAATTGCTATCCATTCAAACTGTAAGATAATTTCAACACAAAGATATTGAGCCCTTTGGGGTGACCTCCAACCCTAACACGCCAAAATAACGAGATTATATAGGACAAACGGCCCAATATTGGGAGTACATGAGTTTTAATAACCTCATTAAACTTACAAATTATACCAACCTCAAGATCGGATACGTTCTATTGCTAGTTCAAATTTCAGGAAGGCAAGTGGTAATAATTTGTTGAAAAGGGATGTGTACCACAATACCATAGAATAAGGAAAGGTTAGTATTTGGAAATTAATTGCGTTCAACAGATCATTATAATTTTTTTTTTGATAAACTAAAGTAGGTACTTAATAAATAAATAATGATTTACGCCAACCAATAATGTTGAAGTGGTTTCAACCGCTTATAAAAGAGTTCATCTAAGCTATTATCAGTATTGTCTACCGCTTCATCTCAAGCGTGAGTTATCCTTTAATTTAAACTATTTTAATTCATTAGCTTCAGAATGGCTCAATTTTAAATTTATTTATTTTTTATTTTTAATCAGAAGTATAATAAGCTGAAAAAGAAAAAAAATCTTAGAAAGTTGGAAAATTATAGCTGATAAACCATTTTTGAGGTTTTGAATTTGAAATTCAAAAATCCTTTGAATTTATAATTTTTCAATCTAAATTTCCTAGAAATGCAGCATAATTGACTTATTTGGCATCCAAATTTCACATTTTAATTTTATTTACCATCTTTCTGTATTTTTTACTACACTCTATTAAATAACAATAATTCAAAAAATTAGAAATTTTTGGAAACAGTTTATTGGTATTTATAGAACAAGAAAAATAAATAAAATTAGATTTAAAAAGTAATGAACAATGTATTACGAGATACATAAATCTGTTATTGAGCAGAATCAAAAGTATCTGTAAATTGAATTTATTTTTTTTAAATAATTGAAATACTTTATCAATTTGGAGATACTTAAAATAAATTCAGTTTTTTCTTAACTCATTTATAAAAGTAACGATGTCAGAATAATAAAAAACTAGCAATCATAGATTAAATATCAATTGAGGAAAACATAAGAAAATAAGAATGCTATTAAAGCAGTTGTAGCAAATAATTTTAAGATATAGTTTTTATGTTTTTACAAAATAAGTAACAATATTATAGTTGTATACCGTGGCTAAACGCACTGCGGCCATGAAGGTCTATTGTGCGCCATGATATTGAAGTTAATTAAATATGTCTATAATAAAATGGTAATTAATGGTTTATAAATCAAAATAACCTTAATGACGAAAGAAACCTTATAAACCTCATTATCGAAATGATGAAGACGTTTAGTCCCCTCGGTCTGCATGTCCTAATATTGACATTCAACCAACATAATCGGATTGGATTTTATGGATGGGATAAAGGATGGGGAATGGATTTTAGGGTTAATGCTTCTACCTATATTTAACTATCTAACTATATGAAATGGCATTTAAGTGATTCTTGAAGTCGTAATAGATGTAATTATACGAACAATAATACTTTTAGAGGTAATTTTTTAATATTTTTTCATAAGACATGGCTATATTTTACTTTTTTTGGAGGGGAGGAGGGGCTTCGACCTGAAAGGACAGGAGTTGTTAGATGAAATAGTTACAAGTTCGCTTCTAAGTGCTAGGGGAATTCTCACATTAATTTCCCGCCATTTCCCCTGGCGTGGAAAAAATCCGTATAGTCTAAAAAGCGAGGAAGGTAAGGACAGAAAAAAACGTACTTGAACAGCCTCAATATGTTCCTTATTAAAATTATAACGCACTTATTTCAGGTACTGAATGTAAAAAAATGTCAAGAAAAATTGGAAATAAAATTTACAGAAAACGAAATTTAATCTCTAAAAGCATTATTGTTTCTTTAATTAGCAATGTTTAAAAAAAATAGGACAAAAAAAGAAACTCTTTCCCCAAAATCTAAAACTAAATTCTTAATCCGTTATATAAATATTAATATCACCAAGCATTTGGCTTTGTATTTTTTTTCTAAAGCACTATGCTTGTTTGCGCCATTATCAACAATTTGTGCCTTACGTTAACATTATGTTAAATGATTATGGTTGGAAATAGAAAACATTGGATTGGTAACCAACCTATGTTGCTGAAATTACATAAAATACGTTGTTTGTTTTTGTATTGAAATTTCCCTCGGCCAAATTCCTCCCTCAATTGGCTCCTCCACTTCTTCCTGCTTGTTATTTCCTCTTCCAACTGTCCTCGGCTTGCCATACTCTCAGCCTTCCAACTTTCCACCTGACACGAGTCATTCTTTTAAATAAAAGTAAGCATTTTTAAATATAAAATTTCGATTGTGTTTCAGATGGCATTACTGCCGCTACTTATCACTTGCCTCTTGGCAAGTGCACTAACAGCGGACGATTTCTATTGGTACAAGGATTCTGTTGTGTACCAAGTGTACGTCCGCTCCTTCCAGGACTCAGATGGTGACGGCATTGGAGACTTGAAGGGTCGGTAAAAGTTTCAAGATAAAAAAAAAATATTAAAATAAGATCGTTTAATTATAGATTTATTATATTTATTTGTAATCTAGGTGTCATTCAACGTGCTGATTACCTCCAGTCATTGGGCATCGGTGCTATATGGCTTTCACCTATTTATGCTAGTCCAAATTATGACTACGGATATGATATTTCTGATATGGATAATGTTAATCCAGAATACGGAACATTGGAAGATTTTAATGAATTAGTGAAGGCAATGAATGCTAGAGGTATTATTAAATATTATTTCTATATTTGTCCTAATTGATTTCAACCTAATTATATTCATTCTTTAATTTTCGATATTTTTTATTCCAGGAATTAGAGTGATGATGGACTTTGTACCCAATCACACAAGTTCAAAACATAAATGGTTTATTGCTTCGGAAGCCAGGAACGATACAGACGAAAAATATTCAGATTTTTATGTTTGGCAAGACCCAAGCGGATACGATAGCAACAATAAACCACAGCCGCCCAACAATTGGGTAAGATAGTTTAATTGCCTAATGAACGCTTGTTAAAAACCATTATAATTTTATTTCTCCTCATAAAAATAAATTTATACAACTTTAATTCATTTAACCAGTTCAATATATGTTTAACCTTATAAAATATAACATTAATATCCAGTCAATTTTAAATATATTACTTCAGGATACTTCCCAAGGGTTCAGTCGTTTATCCTATATCATTTCTTTATCATACATTTGTTCTAATTCATAGTTATTTCAATTATCGTATCCTTACTAAAACAGTAATCCCTTATCTATTCATATCATATTCTTTATTTATTCACCCTCTACGGCCTCATTTTTTTCATTTGACTCGCCAGAGTCAAGCTTATTGTCTCAATTTTATATTCTTTGATAAAATTGATTTATTTTAAATATTGCAACATTTTGCTATTTATTTTTCCTCATCTTGCAGGATTTCTTTCATTTCCGTTCCCATCCGTAGATTTTCTGTAAGATCAGTGTACTTACTACACTTTAACAGTACATGCTTCACTGTGCTCAGCAATCTGTGCAAGTTGGGACTTCTAATCCTCGCAGGAGGTATCCATGAGAATACTCACAATATCCGATTCTAAAGGGACAAAGTACCACTTCTTCTCGTCTTGAGTTTCGGTTTGAAGTGCTCCATTTTATACTTTTTTTTTATTTCTTTAAGATTTGCCTAACTTATTTCTCATTCACGGTTCCATTTATTTTTTAATATAACCATACTTGTAATTTTTAAGTTCGACAAGGGACTTATTATAAATGTCGATAAAATGAAAATAATCAGTCTCGATTTTTCTAAACGCATGTATTAACTTTGATTGTGCATTACCTAACATTCGAAGCGAAACCGAACATCTTCCAAAAAATTAAAAAAAAAAAAATTTTTGTAACAATATTAAATTCTTAATCAGTTCTGGGAATGAAGAGAAATTCCAAATGGTGGAGGATTGTGTTATGAAAGATCTTTGAAAACTGCGGTATTTCAAAGGATCTATGGGATGTATTGCTTGGAGAATGAGAATGGGTATTAGATTTGAATTAAAATAGGATAGAAAAGTATTCTTCTTCTTCAATGCGCTACATTTCACAAAGCGTCCTTGCTTCCTCCTACGGCAACCACCATGCGTCCCTGTTCTGTGCCACTGCCACCCATTATGGTACGTTCGAATATTATCTTGCTTCATTAGCTAAACAAACCATCCACCGCAGCTTTTTCCTCCCAACTCTGACGGCAACGGTCAATCTCGAAGCCTCATCCCAAATCTCGTCCTTGTTTTTAGCGACGTTAGCGTATATCGTTATCGATCGGTTTCACTCCGTGCTTGAATTTTGTATACGAGATTCCCTTATTACTTTCTTTAGCACCATATTAGAAAGTAGGCAAACAAGGACGCCACCTTGCATGACTCCTCTCCTGGATGGTAATTTCGGTGTCATCCAATCTTACTACGTGGACTATAACTTTAACATGTTTTATTTTTGGAGACGTATGTATCCTCTATTCGGGAAATTTATAAAAAGATTGAACAAATTAGCGTGTTTTAAATCAAGATAGACCTTTGGACCTTCATGAATAGTTTATTTGGTTTGCCTAAAGCCTAGCCCACAATAGTAGACTTGTTGCGTGATTTTCGTCTCAGAGACCTGTCTCAGGTTGTCTACCTAGACATGTCTATAGACAAATTCTCCTCTACGGGTTTGTTGCGAGACCAAAAATCGCAGGTCTATAGTCTCTCGATCGGAATGATGACATCATAAACATGTTGCGCACTGTTTTGACAGTGTGGACGTCACACGGCGTCTAGAGGCGAGATACATCCCATTCTGTCTCCAGCTACCGAATGGTTATTTCGGCCGTTTATCCGCCCAACCATCAAAAGCAAATCTTCAAAAACAGTGGACGTCAGCTGAGATATAATTCCGATACCTCATAGCATCTTCCAGTCTAATTAATTTATTTAATTATGCATTACCAAACTAAGATCCTTCTGCGAGCACTTCGTGCATCCAACAACGTCTACGTATTAGCGTTTTTTTCACTAGCAATTAGCACAAACCAGAAAGTCATTCCACAAAAAACAATGTCCTCCGTGGTGAACTGTAAAGATGAGACTGAGAAATTCATATTGTAGTGGGGACGCTAGATGAGAACGGTTTCTCTATACATTGTCCACTAGTGTGTAATAGGCTTAAGAAATTAAAAGGTAGTATATTAATAAGCGGTTAAGCAATCATTCTCAGTAGAAATAACAGGCTCTAATACCAGCTTGTATAAATTGAGGATTAAGTTTAAAAATTGTTCGATCAGTTATTGATACTCCTATCACTTATTTTCCATTTCAGCTAAGTAATATGGGCACAGGAACTGCCTGGGAATGGAGCGAAAAAAGGAAACAATTTTATCTGCATTCGTTTCTGGTTGAACAGCCGGATCTCAACTACGCCAACCCTGTAGTGAGGGAGAAAATGAACGTAAGTAGATTTTTTTCTGTTTTGTAAATTAGTATCGATTATCTCATTATAGTCATATATTTATGACAATGGTTATATTTACAGGATGTACTTAAACTGTGGATGAGCAGAGGAGTCAGTGGATTCCGGATGGATGCTGTGAGTTCAATTTATGACAACTTGGCATGTGGGAATGAACCTCCATCAGATAACCCAAACCCACACAACCCTTACGATATTAAGAACCTAAAGCACATCTGCACGATAGATCAACCAGAAACCTACGACATCATTAAAGAATTCAGAAAAACTTTGGACACATTTCAAGATAAAACTGGCAAAAAAGAGGCTAAGTGAGTACTTTTTATTGATTTAATTAAAAGGATCACGATATTTCCTAAAATTAAACTGTTAGAGCGGCCATATTGATTTTATATATTATCGAAAATTTTTACGTTAGCGCTTTTTTAAATTCAATATTTTTGGGAAAAAAAGAAAAGACAGCCTTCCCTTTCAACAATACTTAGATTTTTAAGTTTGTTCTAAAAACAGTTAGCTGTACTGTCTATAATAGAAGTTCTAGATAAAAAAATTATATTTGTTGGCTAATTTAGGAGTCTAGGGATTGTACAATTTAATAGTATAAATTGAATACGACTAACAAAAAGCGTTAAAAAGACTTTAAGTTTATTGTTTTTTGAGATTCGCAGCCGATAATTAAAGAAAGCTAATATATTTCTCCTCAATTTTCCAGGTTAAACTAATGAAATAAAGATTATAGACAATACATTAATTTAATTTGATTATGATTTTTTTTTTATATATATGAATTATCAATCAATTAATAAAAGTATTGACTTAATGGAAGGATAGCGTTATTAGTATTTTTGAAAACATTTATTACAAATCGAAGTAATATTATATATTATATTACATATTATATATATATATGTATGTGTGTGTGTGTGTGTGTGTGTGTGTGTGTTAAAATAAATACAAGCATACTGGATTGACCTTTTTGATCAATCTATGTAGTTCGATTATGCTTGAGTGCCTGTTGAAACATTTTGACTTGAAACACGCAAAATTACCGTACAAATTCTTAAGCATAATTGAAAAATAAAGATTGATCGTACATGCTTGTTATATATGCCATGGAGTGCGTAGTAACCATAACTTCAAAATACGTTTTGTAAATACAGTAGCGTTATCTTTAATTGAGAATTGAATGTTTTCTCAGCCTTCGAATTCAAATAATCAAATGACAGTATGAATTAATTTTCGCAACAGATCAATCATTTTGAAGTTGTTGTGATTATGAAAAAACTTCAGATTTTTATTTACAATATGTGATGATCCTAAATAAACAAAAGAGTGAACAAAATTTAAATTTTTGTTTCTTTTATTGCGTTTTAAAAGACTATTAAAATCAAAAATTTTGAAATACCACTTTAATTTTAACAAAAAACGATTATAAAAAGATATTGAATAAGGAACTTAAACAGATGAATGTAAACAATTATTTTTAACCCTTAGAAGGGCTATTATTAATTATATATTCGATTTTTTTTTCCTCCGGCTATTGGTTTGCTGATTTTAAAATACTTTATTTAATACATTTTTATTTAAAAAAAAAAAGGTTTCAGTTAATACGTTCAGAAAGATATGGAGAAAAGTCTGTATATGTAGAAATGCCTGTTTTTATAAAATACCACTACCTGCACGTTAAAATAATGATATCAAACAATACCTTACCATTCACTTTTACTTATATCGAACTATCTAAATTTTTGCCAACTCTTAAAACATATTTCATTACTAACTCCGGAATGAGTTTTGACAGAGCCACTAGCGGATCCAGATTAATTTGGGGGAGAGGAGGAGAGGAGAGCTTCAGCCCGAAAGCGTTTTATATAAATAAATATTTATTTGTGGGTAGATACACGTACTGGAGGGCGGTACTGAGGCTGTCGGTGTGCTCCTGACTTGGACTATCGAATCTCGATAAGAAGGAAGGAAAAAATAGAATTTGTTAGTTACGGCATATAGGACTTGTGGTTTTGTGTTATGATGGCTATTTGTTTTTTCTAGCTCTGAAGAGGATCCCATTCTATGTATGAGAAAAGAAAGGATCGAAAAGTCAACAAATAAAAAGAAAAAACTCCAAATTTATGTAGTTTAATAAAATTGTAAATTAAATGACCTAACTCCCGAAAATAATAATAATTTGAAAGAAGAGAACAAACTAACAAACTAACAAATGAAGTGATGTTTATGCGATAGTTAAAGTCCTATTAAATATAATACTTTTTTACTACGAACAATAATACTTTCAGAGATGATTTTTTAGTATTTTTTTCATACAACATGTTTATATTTTGAGAGGGGCTTCCGACTAAAAGCCTCCCCCATAGACCCGCCTCTGCTAAGTGCTGTTAAAATTTCAGGCTCATGATGACGGAAAGTTATTCGGACTTCGACGCAGTTGTGAAGTACTACGGAGACAAAAAATCTCCTGGATCAACCTTTCCCTTTAATTTCTTCTTCATTGCCGACCTCAACCAAGGAAGTAAGACTTCTGAATGGGCAACCATAATAAAGCAGTGGGTGAACCTCATCAATGAAGATAAATGGCCCAACTGGGTGGTAAGCAACAATTCAGAGTTCTGATGTAATTATCTCACTTGTTTAAATTATTAGCTCTAGACAGTATGTTCAGCAAGATTATAGGACAAGTCAAACCAATCTGCATGATATTGTTATTATAGTTATCATGGTAATAATATAAAGTAATAAAAAAAACATTACTTTTCTAGAAAAATGTTGTAAAAATTAATCTGAAATGTTTTCGTTCTAACTCAAGCTAGGAAATCATGACATGCACCGTCCAGCTTCCAGATTCAGCGACGAATGGGTCGACGTCCTCCACATGATGGTGATGACGCTGCCCGGAACGGTGCTTAACTACTACGGCGATGAGCTTGGTCTTGAAGACGCCTACGTGAGGTACGATGAAGGCAGAGATCTCCAAGGAATCAGGGCTGGGCCGAATGGGTTCGCCGCCATGTCGAGGGACTTCCAGAGAGGTCCCATGCCTTGGAAAGCGACGCACAACGGGGGTGAGTTTTTAGATTAAAATAAATTTAGAAAAAACAGACAAAAATTACTGGTCTTGTTGTAAAAACAAACTGAGAACTATCTTATAAATGTTTCAGTACGTTGATATATTATTAAGGAGACTTTTTTAAACGTGTTTATTGAGAAATATTACAATCTGTATAAGTTAAGGCACCTTATAATAGAGTTCAGAGAGTATATTCACACCGTATATTCACAGGAACGAGCGAGCTAACATGTGTGCAAAGCATCGTTAGTGCGTTGGGTTAGTGCGACTGATAAAAACCATAATATTGTCTCGCAAAACCACATTACGTTTGTTCAAAACTGTGAGTAGACCAGTGCTTACATCTGGACCAGAGAGCTGGACACTAGCCAATTCCCAGAAAAATCAACTCCTCCGATTCGAAAGAATGATATTGAGAAGAATTTTCAAAACGACTTTCGATGCCAACGAGCTAGCCTGGCAGATCAGGACAAATACTGAGATCTCAAAACTGGACAAGGTCTGTGATGTAGTGCGCTTCATCTGAGTTAGCCGGCTCAGGTGGCCAAGATTAGCGCTGGCTCGATGCCAATATGGTATGATGATGTTCCTGGAAGAAAAAATCTACAACACCAGAAAAAGTGGGCGGCTCAGTCTAAGAAGGATGGATGGGGTAAAGAAAGATGCAAACACCATTCTGGAGACCCGGGACTGGAGAGCGGCTGCACGAAACCGAGATGAATGGCGGACCTTGCTTCAGGAGGCCGTGAATCCCCCGCCGGTTGTAGAGCCATTGAAGAAAAAAAAGAAACATCCATATTGTCCTAACTTTATTTCAGACAGCAAAGATTACGTTGTATTAAATACTTGTTACATCTATTCTTTTATTTTTTATTTAAACTTTTACTTCAAACTATTATTTTCATGAAATATTCTCGATTTTTTATTATTAATTTCAGGGTTTTCAACGGGCAAACCATGGCTACCTCTGGCTCCAAGCTTCTGGAGTAGAAATGTAGAAAATGAGTCCTCTCGAAACAACAAACGCTCGCACCTCAATGTTTACAAAACTCTGGTTCAATTGAGAAAGAAACAGACGATGACTGATGGAAGCACTGAAATCCAGGCGAGCGATGAGGGATTAATAATTATCACGAGGTGATATTTAATATTCAGTTTAAAAAATTAAGATATACTAAATTCTAACTCTTCCAAAAGTTAATACGTAATCCATCTTTAACTTGTTCTTTTGTTGCAGAGTCCTGAAGAATAATCCAACAATGTTCACAGTTCTGAACATAGGTGATTTTGAAATAACTGCCGATCTGTCGAAGTTCAGAAACAGTCTGCCTTCAACACTCAAGATGGTCGTTAGTAGTTACAACTTCCCGGAGACAAAAAGGTAACTTATACTCATTATAAATTATTTTATAGATCTTACGATGGGAGAGCTTAACGTCGTGGGTTCACCGATTTCAAAGAAACTTTATTGGAAAATATAATTTTTTTTTATATTAATGCTTACTGACTGGCATGGATAATAAATAATGAATTACGAAAACCCGAAGACGCTTCCAGTAAACTAGGCCAAGTAATTTTTTGACTCGAAAAAAAAATTCAGATTCGTTTTTAGCGTCCACTAAAACTCTTAAATACATGTTTATTTTGAAATTAACATTAAAATTAAAACTTTTAAATACATATTTATTTTGGAATTAAAAATATACATGTTTGACTTGATTTTCTAGCAGGATTTTTTTCATACTATTTATTAAAATATTAATCATTCCTCAGAATCTTCATCTAAGTTAACGTTACAACCGTTTGAAAATTAAATTATTGCTTATCAAAACCATATCGACAACTTTTAGATTTTACGCCTTTATAAGGAATAAATTAATAAAAACTCCCCAAACGTTCTTCATTTTTTATCTCCAAGCTTAATTTATTTGTGGGAGTCTGGTTTGTGCTATTTTGTGAATTTCATATGCCGAAAATTCATGTTAATTTTTGTGTGGATAATTGGAACCATGTCAAAGTTATCACAACTTTTGTTATTTTCGAAAAGAAATTGTAGGCCAGTGGCATATGTGAAAATTTTGAGCAAAATATTTTTATTTATCGATAGGTATGAAAATTCGTATTTAAAGGTTTTTCGAGGTGCGAAATACATATCGCAACTTTGTTTTTCCTTAAAATTATATTTAAATCCATTTTACTCTTTATGTTAATAATAATTGTACTCATAATATAGCTGTATGCCAACTATGTATTTTTTTTCTAAACCGGACGGGTATCGAAAGAAAGATTAGATGCACAAATATATTGTATTTTGTCGAAATTCATCAGAAAATCTGAATTATACATATTTCACCATGAAATATACTTTTTTTGGGATAAAAAATATTATGTTAATTTTTCGCACCTCTAAAATAACTTAATTATGAATTTTCTTTGCAATCAAATACCTCTTGTGAGACCCATCTATGTTATGGTAGATATTAAAACTGTTAAATATATATCTAAATATTAAGAAAATTTTCATTTCAATCGAGAAATAAATTTATTTAGCTTTACTAATATCTATAATATTATTTTACACAACAAAAACATATCGATTGATATATAATAACTTAGAAATCCATACAGACCAAAATCAGGAAACATTAATATAAAAAAATAATGAAGTTTATAATTTCTTTTCTCGGCTCCTAGCCGCATTCGCAAGAACCTTCGGACATGGGTCAGATATTTTAAGACCTAGTATCGCCCAAAAAATTGTCATTTAAATCGTTGATCCCACGTCCGTAACCTCGCCTTGTTAGTAAAATACAGTTTATATTAATTAACAGTTTATAAAAAGGTATTAAGTTGGCATTTAAAAGCTTAATATTACTTATAATTGAAAACGAAACCACCAGTATCGAAAAATTAGATGAATCGATTTGGTTTTAACAAAGCTTTCTTTCTAATGTAAATTATTTAGTATCTGAATTAAGAAACCCAATTCAAGATTGTAAATTAAGAATCCGTTAAATTTAAAGAAAAACGTATTAGCTCTGTCTCCAGTTCAGCTGGAAGCAACAAGGCGAAATATGGCCGCAGACAGAGATTGTCTCTGATTCAATATATTGTCGATTTGATCCAATCTTTTCGTTTATTATCTGTTCTTTTTTCTAGTGCATACATACTTCATTACTCCATTAACAATAATGTCTTCCACCGACCTTTGCTCATGAACTGCCAAACAAGTCCTACTGTTCTGATTGTTAGCCCATCGAATGCACCCGTTTTATAATATTGACTGAACTCTTGATTAGAATAGGTTGCTTGTGGAGAGTAATTCCTATATCAATGTCTTTTTAATAAGAATTTAAAATGTTTGTTGTTAGAGAAGATGGAATAAATGGTATGTTTAAATGCCCGAATGGTTTAGTTTAGAAATGTAAATACCACAACGAAATAAATGAAGCTCGTATATAAATTTATTCATTTTTTAGAAATGTACTTTTTTGTTAAATCCAATTTACTTCGAATGATAGGATGACATAATTAAATAGGATATACAAATAAAAACTAATTAATTCTTATTTGTTTCAGTGTTAAATCGTCAAACGTTTATCTACCGCCGAAGTCTGGAGTAGTTTTGGTTTCTTACAGTGATTGAAGCCATTTTTGTCCTCACCTTAAGTTCCTGTGCAATAAAGTATATGAAAATATTACTATACAATGACGAAATAAAGTAGAATAAATAAAATTTAAAAAGGCTTGTATTTAATTTTTTGTATTTATCATTGACAATATGATAAATGTTACGAAATATAAACTGAAATAAGAAATATAAATGTGTACTTTATTGAGTCCTAGTGCAAGTGATACTGGCACTGATATTATTTTTTTAATATAATTTTATTGAGAAATAATGCATTTTTCCTCACTTAAGGGCACTGAGAGCTGTGTGAGGCTCATTCATAATATATATATCCAACAACAACATTAAAACAGAAGAAATGAAAAATAAAACAAAAAAATTAAACTTGAGATAACATAAAATCATAAAAACACATTCATACTGATTTACAATATTTACGAGGAGCTCAGTCGAGGGAGCTCAGAGTCTTGCCCTTTTCCCCACGTGTGGAAGACAAGACAAGACTCTATGAGATCCCAGCGCTTCTCTCAACCGCATCATCGGGATGCGAATCCAGTGGAGAGTGAGAGAGAGCACTAAAGCCTCATACTCTCATGACTTGAATGGAGAAGCTGTGCATTGTCAGGACTCTAGTGACGTATTTACAAAAGATCTCGAGACCACTACCGGTTTAACCTTCAAGGAGGATACTAGCGATAGCAAGAGCTGGATAAATATTGTTATAAGGGTTTAGGATGGTGGATTAGATTCTGATGAAAATAGTAAATTACTATAATTTATTTTCGGTTGAGAGATTAAATTTTGTGTTGAGTAGTCTGTATAATTGACCAAATCGTCGGGTAAGTTCTTGTCCTTTAAGTCTTGTTTGGGGTTTCCATGTTCGTCTTTTTTTCTAGAAGGAATCCAAGATACCGAACTGTGTAAGGTAGGAGAGGTAGTGAGTTGAAAAGAATAGGTGGACATATCAGTGGATATCTATCGTAGGTGGTTATGCAAGAATAGGTGGATCTGCGTCGGAGAGTAAATGTGACATGCTTGCGTTTGGATTCGTTGAATTTGATGCGCCAATTGTTGCAACACTGCTCAATCAGTGAGATGCATCCTTGAAGGATATCGGGATTGGTTGGGATATCAGCGCTTCCGGGAAAAATGTATGCACATGGGAAGAATATTGATCCCCGGTGTCTCACATGTGGATTCTCCGAGACGGCAGAACACGTTGTGGTATCCTGTAATGACATGGAAGGACACCGTGCCAGGATTTCGAGATGGGTATCTTCGCCATCGACGAAACGGACATCCCCCGACTGTTGGAAGATATGAACTACCCCTTCTTCAGAGAGTTTGTTTATCGGTGGAAGGAAGTGGTGGGGCCTTCGAACTTTACTCTCGGTAGGGCCCCGCCACCTGATATCGTCGAGCCACGAGAATGAGGCACAAGAAGAAGGTATGTGGGGAACCAAGAGGGCTGGACGGCAATCCGGAAGGATGCAGCGGACCAAAGGATGAGGGCTGGATGTTATACAGGTCGCATGCGGACTAAGCCGGTCACACAGTGCCAGTAGGGCTGGCAATGAGATCGGGCAGAGGATGAGATGCGGCTCCCTCAATAAGCTGCAAATCTGTGGACCGAGCCAGTAGTGGTCGTACGTATACCCAACGTATTAACCCACTATTACCGAAACCCAGAGTGCCAGAAGTGGCGGATATGGGACAAAAATAAATAAATAATGTTGGGATGTCAGTAGTGAAAAAAAAAACAGAGGAAAGTGAATTCATGGGTCAGTGAAAAAATTATGAAATAATATGTGAACAAGTTAATACAACGTATTATGAGATGGGGAATTCATTTTCTTTTCCTCGGTGGATTACAATACTTCATTCATAGCGATAAACCAAAACATGTGTACAATAATCAAGGCCCGGATTTTTATGCAGTAAAAACCCTCAGAAAGTGCTATATAATATGCAGTAAAAAACCACTGAAATATGCAGTAAAAATACATGAAAAATGCAGTTACTGTTCCCTAAATATGCCAAATTGTACTCGGTTAATATAATTGAGTTGAGGCAAATAAAATGGGCATACAAAGTCGCTAGGTTTGGTAACGAAAGAATTCCTAAAAAGGTAATATGCCTCAAGATTAGTTTAATAAAAATAAAAATAAACTTTTTATATTTGTTTATTGTATATTTCGAAGATTTGTGGTCCTCTCTTCATTAATATTTTATTCTCCCGAAAAAATTGGGTAAGTCAATATGATATAATGGGTTTGGTACAATGTTCGATTTTCAACTTAAAAGTTGAAAATCAGATATTGTCATATTGACTTACTCAATTTTTTGGGCGGAGAATAAAGTATTGGGAAAAAACCCATATAGCCTAAAAGGTGGGGTAGGGATTAACAAATAAGAATATATCCCCTGTCCCTATTGCGGTGTTTCAGAAATCGCTGAGGGTTTCGTCAGGACCTGCATCACTATTTGAGATGAAAAGGGCCAAACTACTGAAGGAAACTGGACTCTACGTCATCAAGGAGAACGATTTCCCTCGGATAATAAATACTGATAATTACCTGTACTACGAAGCATTCGTCGCGGGTTGAAGGAATTAGTGGGTATTGGTCATTTCAACCTCATCCGATGAATTATTTATTTCTTTATTGAGTATTATAACAATCTGTCTCTTGGACATTGGTTATAGTGAGGTCAGATGAATTAAAAGAGAAAACCAATAGAGTATAATAAGTGATAAATATGGACAATACTTCAACCAAAAATCTATGTTGCCGAAAGGCAAGATAGGACGGAAATAAATAAATAAAATCCGACAAACATGCTAGTCAGCAACTTTTCTTTTATAGTGCAAATTTTTTTACAATGTAGGTAAGTATGAATTTTTTTATTACAATGCATTTATTTCATATGTTGTTATTTTCTTGAATTATGATGGATTAATAATGAATAATTCAATTTCTTCTGATATATATTTAATATTCTTATGTTTTTAAAATTCTGTAATGATCATCTGTTCATTCGGTTAGGTTCAGTCCAGTAAATAAACCAATCATCATAAAGAGGTCCATTGTGTTTATCCATCATCCTTGGTGACCAACATTCTTATTTTTAAATGTTATCAAACATAAAAAATAATCAATATTTCATCATATTTCTACCCTTCAGTTATAATCAGCTTCTGTTGTCTTTCATAGTAGCTCTATGCTCAATGCATTTTCTTGGCTCTCTGTAAACTCATGTAGCCTTTGATACTAAGTTATTGTTTGCCCTATAGAAATAGTTAGGATATCTTTTAATTTATGTAATATATTATTATGTTTAAATAATTCTTACTTAAATGAAAAGAAAATTTTATGGATTTATGTTTTATAACGAAAAATTACCATTAGTGTTTCTTATATTAATTATTTTTTCTTTTAGAAGTGTTTATAGTTCAGATTTACAGCATAAACACTCAGGTTCTTGGTGTTAATTAACTTTAAATTTCGTAAGTATTGAACCTTTTAACTATTCGTTAACTGGCTATTTATGGTTTATAGATTTCATTTTATGTCGACTTTGTGGTCATAATATTGCTCCTGCAACTCATGTTATTAACATTCAAAGTCCAGCAGCTGAAAAAATATACAACCGTTCGTTATTTGGGTTGGATAATGTTGAAGTTCAAAGAATAAGGAATCCTCTTGGTATTGAGTTCAATATTGTTTTGTCTACAGGAGGTACTTGTGTTGGAAGAAGAGAGGTTTGTGAAAGATATAAGTAGTTGGTTTATTGTAATTAGGAACATGTAAATATGTTTCACTTGTTATTATGGTTTCTTTTAGAGGTGGAAGAGCCATAATTCTTGGTTTCCTGGTTATTTATGGAAGCCATGTTTTTGTTCAAACTGTTCTCAACATATTGGCTGGTATGCTGTAGATTACTTTTTAGTAATTTTTATGATGTACTGTAGCTGTAGTTGTGATATTGATAACTATTTTATTTATTTATAGTAGCCAAATTTAATTATTGTTCAAAACTATTTAATAGTTGTGTAATGAAATTTACTCTGTTGTTTAAGGATTTTTGAACCAATTCAATCTGCTCATGAAGAAAGAGCATATGCATCTACCAAAGGGTTTTACGCATTGATTTTAGATAATATTATAAGTGAGGATTGTAAGTATATATTCTGTATATCAAAATGATTATTTATGAAATTAAGATAACATTTTTTTGCTACTATTGTCATCTAGTCTTTAGTTTCTTTAGATATAATTATATAATATTTTATTTCGATATAATTTTTTTAATGAGTTTGTATTTTATTTATAAAGAGTCACTCGATTGTAAAACAGTACATGGTATTTTTTTCAAATGAAGTCTTTGGCATCAACGAATTCCTTTAGGAAATTTGTTTCTAATGTTTGTATTAAGTTATGGTAAGTGACTGGTGCTTAAAAGTAAAGCATTGTAACAAACAAATCAAATTTTCATTTTTTTTAGTTAGCTTTTATCATGACTGAGTGCCTCTTATATTGAACTACCCTATTTTTCTCTTATTATCATGTTCATGATTATTTTCACTATTTCATTTTCATTTTTGATCTGATCAACATGTTTTAATTGGTTTGTGAATGGCTACTCCTTGGGGACTGTATTCATTTCATCTCTCAGCAACCACGTTTCTGTTACTAAAGTTATCACATTATTCCCCTCCTGATAAATGGTGGATAATATTATTTTCTGTTCCTCATTGGGTTGTTAAATTACTTCAATGTTGGAATTATCTATTAGCATAGCTAAGCAAATTTTTTGGGAGGAACCTGTCATATCTTATTATAGTTGCCACTGTGGAATAAAAGTTTTAAAATCTAAAACATTTTTTTAGATATTTTGTTAGAAGATTAAATATTTGTTAGATAAATATTTTGTTTAAAAATACATATTTTTCTTTTTGATGATGAGGGGTGTAAGATCTCACGATTGCGCTATAAATGGTATTCCCAGAATACCTAAATGTGTCCGAAAGTAGACCGTAGATGATTAAACCATCAAACTGGTAAGGCCCCAAACTTAACCCATAAAGGACTTGCTGAGGGTTAGTTTATCTCTTTTGATTATGTATAGGGTTTAGAAGTCAAAAGCATTGTCATTTAAGTTAATTAAGGTCCCAATTTTAACTGAAAAGGACCAGTTGGGAGTTAGTGGAGATCATAAACCGTGTTGTAAATAAAGGAGGTGTCGGTATCTAATGGAAAACATCCTAAGAAATTACGCTGAGTAAATAACTACTTTTATTTTACAAAATTTATGAAAACGATTACAGTAGTATTTTTTATCGCACTCACTAGCAAGCTAACCATGATCTTTATTTATTTCCATAAAATAAAAAACCATGATCTACTTTCTATTACTGTATGACTGTATGTAGGGAAATGTATGACTTGTCCTGATCTTGTTACTGTCTCTCTTGATTGATTTGCTTGCTCATTTGTTGATGTACCAGCTGTATGTTCTGATGGTGGTGAAAGAGTTGTAGTTATAGATTGTTTATCTGACTTATCCTTCTGCAGTCGTTAAAGATCTCTCAGGTTTTGTATGTGATTTTAAATAAAAAATGAACTCATTACAACCAACTCCAGACTTACATAAAAACAGCACATCACCTTTTGTTCAGAAGAATCTAAACAATAACGTTGATAGAGTAAAATCAGCATTAGAAAAGTCTTATGAAGTTTTAAAGTAATTAAAAAAAAAAAAAACCTGTAGCACTACAACCCGTGAAGTATCTTGGGTTCAGTACGGTTTAGGAAAAGCACTGTTTCTTGGTCAACGGTTCTGTAAGGAGGTGATTTGACCAAGATCACACTCAACCGCCAGGTTTCCCCCCTTAATTATTAATTAAGGGTTCCTACTTTATAGAGGCTGAGTGTGCCCCAAGAGGCCTCTTACAGACTCATTGATCCATTTATGTCAGCAGTCTAAATCCTTTTGGCCAGATGCTTTCCTTATTTGTCTCCTGAACATTGTTTTCTATCCCTTGGTCACTTTTGTCTAGGTTGTACCTCCAGGAATTGTGTTCTCTTGGATAAGATATATATAAAATTGTTATAGTCAAAGTATAAACCAAAAGAAATGGCATCTATAATGAATGAATTAGTAATAATCTAAGAGAGACCGAGCACTTTTACAAACCTCTGAATTAACTTATTGGGGTGACCATATACAAAGAGAGAGAGAAATATAAACAGAAAAATAAGTTCATCAATAATAATAATAATCAGATCAAAGATTCCTGTGCATCTCTGTTTGAAGTGTCATTTGATCCTCTTGTTTTTCCTTTTTCTGCCATTAATAACTCGTTGGTCTATAACTTTCCAAACAAGTTGTCTATTTTCTTTTTTTTGTGTAGTTTCTCTAAAATGAGTTGAAATATACTGCTCAAAACTGAATAGAGATATTAGTTATGTACAATTTGTTTTCCCTAGAATTATTTTATTTTTATTATGAAATACTTTGAAAATTAATACAAATAAGATTGTATTTGATCTTAGGACATTTAATGACAGGTGTTTAAAAAGATAATAAAATTAATAATTTTTATGATCTCGCTTTTTTGAATGTGAGTTATAAGAATTTTGTAAAATTAAACAATTTGTGTTATATCCTGTAATGCCCTACCTCTCTGCACCTATTGACCATAGTGTTTATAATATTGTCACTCATTTCACAAGAAATTTCATACTACCAACATGGTAGTACTGCTGAGAATTAGCTCACTTGCTGAAGGTTAAGAAGCTGTTGATAGTGGTCAAAAAGCCTTCCTTGCAGTAGATCCCACATGTGTTCAAAGAGATTGAGATCTGGAAGGGGTAGGAGTGAACTTTCCAGAGTTTCAAGTCATCGATGAACAACTTTTCTGCAATGAGATGTATTGTCGTCAAGAAAATGAAAATCTGTGCCAATCATGGCACACATTCTGGTTTGAAGAATGTAGTCCTCTATAATTTCTTAAACTGCAATGAGATTACCTTCCGCAGTATAGAGTAGAGTCCCTCCTTCTGATTAGGTGCCAGTCCATACCATTACACTCGCACCTCTGTACTGTATTAGAAGAAGCAAAATCTGTGGCTGTTTACCCATCCTCTGTTCTCGGAAGACTCTTCGGCGCCTATGGTTGCTATAAATATAGAAACACAACTTGTGTGTGAACATAATAGGATTCCAATGTGTATCGACATCTAGGTGCTTGCTACACCATAATCTACAGAGTTGCTGGGTGATCCACTGTTGCTGCATGTTGTCCTAAAGGGTTATAAGATGTTAGACCAACTTCTCACAAACAGTTTTAGCTGATATAGGCCTTGGCAGAACATTGACACTTCATTTAGGATCTCGGGTACTATAAAAGGAATTGCTACTTGCAGTAATAACAATATTTCTGTTATCCCATGTTGTCCTAATGCACTGAGATCCACTACCAGGTCTCCTATTAGAGAGAGAGAGAATCACTTTATTATCATAAAATGGTGCTGCCCAATTACATTGGGTTGCTAACAACACAGCATACTTATTAATCACTACAGACATTATTTAAAATTATTATACAATTATAGGATTAACAATATGTATGAGCATAGTATACAATATTTTATACGTATATATATATATTATTTTTTTTTTTCCTTTTTTTTTTTTTTTTTTTTTATAATTTTTACTATTTCTTTCATTCATTTATTATCATTCGGTACCCTTTCTCTTCCTTCTCTCCCCCTATACATGTTCCCACTCACATTCTCTCCTCTCTCTTTCTAACCTAATACATAAAAAATTCATAAAGTACAGTGGACGTGTTCAATAAATAATAATATAAAAAATGCTGTAACACACGCATGCCTCCCCCTCGCGAGCAAACTCTCCCCCTATCCGCTCCCATGCACATGGTGGTGGATGATTCCCAGGGAGTCGAGGATTATACTCTCTGCCAACCTTGCCACGTCCTTTATGTCGACACCAAGGCCCTCCATGAAGCTCCTTGTTGAGTCTGGTATCGTTCCGCGAGCTCCGAACCAAAGGCCTCTCACGTGGAACTCTCTCGGCCCGAAACTCTCGCGGAACTTTTCACTAAGGAAAGGGATGCATTTCTCATATATCTGTTTTTTCTCCCTTTCCACTTTTTCTGCCTGATCGAGGTCGTTGGTCTCATATCTCACGGTCGGATCCAAAATCATCGCCGACTTTCCCGTCTTAGGGAATGCTACAATGTCGGCATATCGGGTGGATCCATCCGTATCTATACAATATACTTCCTCGAAACAGGCGTATTCTCTCTCTTCAAGGAGCCTCATCAGTTCATGCTTGACTCTGTGGTGACGGCGTGTTATAAGGAGGGAGTTGTTGGGGCATTTTCCAAGCACATGTGCTGGTGTTTCTGGCTCTCTGTCGCATTTGCGACAGAGGGACCCAACTTCTCTTACCTGTCCGCTGACACCTGGGACTCCACGCAGGGGAGCATAATTAATATTTAGTTTCAGGGCATTTGACCATTCAGACCCAGAAAGTACTTGCTTATCATACATGTATTTATTGGCTTTCGGGGTCTCTTTAAAATGGCGAACTCCAATGCCCTGCCACCTGCAATTGGTCCATTCCTCAAACGAATTTTCTCGAAGCGACTGCCGTAGAGCTCTCATATTCCGAATACCCCGATCAACCCCCAATCTCTCGGCACATTCATCAACCTCAGCCGAATAATCAAAGATCGATTTATAAAACCAGTTTCTCTGAATCTAGTTAAAGCCAGAGAGACCACAATCTGGAAGATACCAGATGCATCAGTGATATCCACTTGCTGGTGCTCTTTTCAAACTTATTGGATTTAATCCTCTCATATATTCTAGCTAAGGTTGAAAGGGTTATCTTACATATAAAAAACACTTATAGATTGTGAAGATCAAGTCTATTTTGAAATAAATTGTAATCTTCCTAGTCCAGAATCTAAGCTGTTTCACGCTGTTTTAATGAGCTCAAGTATTTTTCTTGTAATAACCGAGTCATAAATTGCAAAAGTTCATGTTTTTTGAGTTAGTCACATGGGGTATGTACAATCTATGATTCAATTTTTAATTGGAGAAAATACTTAAGCTTTTCTGAACTTTCTTGAAACAAATATTTCATATACAGTTTGAAGAGATACTGTTTTTTACTATGAATATTATCTAATTTGTTTTATTCCAACTCCTTCAAATTTTTGGTTTACAGATATTCGTCCTCATGACCAAAATTTGTCATTTTACAATCAACAGTAGCCAAATAAAAAATTTTTTTTCACTTTTATTTTTAATCCGCACCTGTTAATAACATTCATTGACAATCAGCAGATGTGGGCTAAATAATGAGAACAGAAAATAATTAATTCTTTTCCTTTTAATTCTAAAAAAAAATAAATACTAATTTTTACCAAACAGAGATAAAGAGGTGCCGACATTATGTGAATAGCGAGGCAAAAAATTACCGGATGAATATGTGTTAATGCATTTTTTTATTTTAAATATATATATTAAGTATTTTTGCTGAAAAATGCATTGTAAGTGATGTTATTTATAAATGTATTGAAACTTACACTTATTTATTATATTATAGATAATTATTGACTGCTTTTGAGAAATCTGCCTAGTTTACTTTTTAATTCTTTATTTTATTTCAGATTCAGATTCTCTTTTGGCTACCCCTAAAATATCTTCACGTGACGAACTTTGAAAACAATGAATCAGAACCTGACAGATGAAGAAAGAGCTTTCGTTAATGAATGTGAACATGAATTTATTAATCGATATACTGAAAAGGATTATGATTACATGTTACATATTAAGATTGGTATGAATCCCCCTCCTTGTGTTGAGCCTTGGTATCCAAAAGGTGAAAATAGGGATAGGAATGATGGAGGTTATAGAAATGACAGGAATGATGGTGGAGGTTATAGAAATGACAGAAATGATGGAGGATATAGAAATGACAGAAATGATGGAGGTTATAGAAAAGATAGAAGATCTGAAAACAATGGCCATGATTACAAAAGAAAGAGAGAATAATCCTATTACACATTTTTATTTTCTTTGATTTAGATGTGACGTGCATATATATCATAAGACAGTATATTATTCCAATTAAATTAATTTTTGAGCCTATTAAACTAATTTTGAAACTGTCCTTGTTATTCCATGTTATAATAAATAGTTATATTTTATAACTTCTTTTAAGAAATAATTCCCAATCAAAATTTTATCCCATACAAATTACATATGTATACCTCATATACATATCTCACCCCTATTCATATAAATATGCATTAATAAAAAAAATAAGAAAAAATATCAATTGCATAAAATTGATGAAAAAATCTTAGAAATTTAATGATTATGAAGAAAATATTAAAGAACTAAGGGAATTTGTGCAAGCTATGCATCATCTGCCAATTGTATGATTTGTTGGCTTGAAACAATTGATAGACCATGACTAAGCTATATAGATGTTATACTGATAGGTATGGTTTCAGGAAGGCATGAATAAATTACCCCTAATTCAAAGAGAAGCTGTGCCTTTCAGTATTAACTGGAAAACTATCTAGCTAAATGCAAGATTCTCGATCTAAGCCATGAAGAAGTAATCATAACAGCAAAAAGTAAATGCAGAAGTGCTTTGCAAAATTCTGTACAAGATGCATAACGTAAGCATATAAAAAGCAAAATAGTAATAAACTATTTGATCCAACAAGACACTAAGATTTTGAATTTTGTAAAGACATTATTGTTCAGAAATTAGGGAGTTAAAATGAATTCTTGACATTTTTTAGATTACCTTTAAGGTGCAATCATCGTTGCTGGGTATAAGAAATGAAATAGCTAGTTTGATCTTTAAAACTGATCAACTATCCAACAAACTATGTTAAGACTTTTTGTTAATTGCTAGAAATAAATTAATTAAATAGACTGTATTAGTTTTTAAAATTAAATAAATGTAATATTTAACTTATATTATGTAGTAAGTCAAAGAAAAAAAGTTTTATCACCACATATCTTTATAATTAATAAAATCTTGGTTTAACTGGTACTAAACTTTGTATCATTTATAACATTTTGAACCACGGGTTTATATATTTTTTTCCCCCTAGACAAAATAAAAATCTTTAGTGAAAGGAATCAATGAAAATACCAAGGTATTTAAAGTGGCAAAAAAACTAAGATGAAAGCGTAAATCAAATAATTATTGATTTATTTAACTAAATCACATTAGTTTAAACTAGCATTTTGGAGTCTGACCATTATTAGGCTCCAATTTTTTTTCTTAATTTATACATTCCATGTATAAAATCCTACCTACTTTTAGTAAAATCAGTTTATATAAATAATGACTAATGATTACCAAACTGAAAAACTTAAGGTCATTAATAAACAAAATACTCGAAAATAAATATTTATATATTATAATTTTTACATAAAAAATAAAAATATACATGAGGAATATCACAATAATTTAGTTAAAAAAACTACTATGTAATTACAAAGTTATTGGTATACAGAATCAGTCAAGTAGACTCAATTTTGCTTATAGCAGTATAACTGTTTAATTTTTCTTTCATTTCTAACTGCTTTACTCTTGCATAAGCAAAACTACCAAAAAGGATAACAAAATTAGAAACCCACCACAAAATAGTTTTTTTCTCGACATACCAAACAGTTGCTATAATTGTTTGAACACAGGCTTTGGCAGTACCTGATATATTGTGGGTTAATGGTGAAGTAACTTTGATTTGGAGGGAAGTCACATAGCCCATCGAAAAGCCACATAAACCTCCAACTGTCATTAAAGTCCAAAAGTGAGTTGTTAATATACTAGGATTTGACAAAATCGCTGAAAATTCACCAGCACCATACATCAATGGAATCATTAATATACAGGAATAAACATTGTTGTAATATGATAACATCCAAATACTATTTTTAACATAAGGTAATACTTTTTTTGTATAAACAGAATAAAGTGCAAGTGAAAATGATGCTAACAGTCCTGATAAAGTACCACCAAATGAAAAAGTACCAAGCATGTTTTCCTGATCAATACCTAAAAAAAATCCTGCAATTATAATAATACAGCATATAGAAGTAGGTCCAGAAACTTTAGTTTTTAAAACTACATATGTTAATAATACATTGAACACAGTTGTCAGGGAGCGTCCAATATAGTAAAATGAAACTCCAACATACTTCAAACACAGTCCATTAAATATTATCATGCAAGTAAACATAAGCGAAATAGGCAGTACATTAAAAACCCCTTCACGTGAAAATGGTGACCCATCAGGAAAGTTCAGTTTATCAGGATACCATTTAGAGTAGTTCTTCAGAAAAAGGCAAATAATGATAGATATAAAGCATTGATACCACAGCACAAAAAATGGAGCTTCCAAGTCATCACTGTTGCTGAGTAATGCTTTGTTAACAAAAACTGTAGAAATAGAAACTATCCAATAAATAGAGACAACTGTGGTGATGTGGAGATATTTCTTAAGAAGAGAATCATGCATCCTGAAGTGATCACTCAAAAGACATGCGTTTACTGAAATCTCATACTAGTTAAGATAGTATATCCCATAAACTTTAATTATTTATGAGACCCAATCTCAACTGACATATGGAGCTGAGAATATCTCAGCAATAACATTAAGATAACATTCTAACATCAAGTTGTCAAAGCATTTCATACAATCGCTAGTAATATTATCAACAGAACAACCAAAGAGAAAGGAATTGAGAATTCTTTTGTGTAACAAACTTATAAATGGAGAAAAACACGTTAGGTTAGTAAATAGATTGTTTTTATAATGGTGAAACTTTTTCTTTTCTTCGGTATAGTTCTTTAGTTATAACTAAAGAAACATCACTTATGCGAATAAATCGTAGAGTGTCCACTAATACCACTTTACTTATCGATTTGGGAACAAAGTCCAATTCAAAATTTATTTGCTGTTTATTCCATATATTTGCCCGATTAAGATTTTATTTTACCTTTATAGACAATTTAACAATCTTTAAAATAAGCATCCGGAACGTTCGGAAAGATATTTAGTTTTCGTGTTATTCGATAACCTAAAGAAAAGTGAACGAGTTTTAATGGGAACCAGTAAGGAATACCTGGTAGCTTCTAGTAAACAGTATAATAGAATATTAAATTTAGTAAAACAATTAATAACTAGCTAACTCTTTATTAATATGAATAAAACCCGACAAAAGCTAAAATCCTTCCACTTGGAATACTGTAATGCAAGATCAGTAAAGTAGAACTGTTTTTCTTTGCAGATGATACGGCAGTAATATCAAACAATGATAGATATTTGCAGTATACTTTAAGTATCCTGCATTAGAAATTTATCACCTTAAATAAGAAGCTGAATACCGAAAAGACAAAAGTAATTCATATTAGCGAAACCCCTTGGAACGTAACGAGATTTTTTATGTTTAATGGTATCTGACTTGAAGGCTGACCTAATGTATTTAGGTATCTCGGAGCTCATTTATATGAGTCGGGCTGTAGCTCAACAATCCATAAACTCGTCCAGAGCCTTAGGAGGTTTGTTTTAGGCTATAAATAAACTCTTTATCAACAAAAAAAGTGAATAAGAAAACCATAGTCAAGGAGTACGAGTAAATGCTAGGACAACTACCTAAATATTCTTCTAGTCTACTATAGCCCCGAAACATAAAGATAGATGCAAGCAATTGAGTGGGTTCATGAATAAGGTGGAAGACAGAACTAGACGGTCGAGGATTAGTAATACTGTAATGAAGTCCAGTCTCTGTTGAATCCCACGCAGACATTAATAATCTTCAATAAGGTCGTGTGCCCATTTACTTAGAATTAAAAACCAATGTCTTTTCGGAGAGATATAGGCCCAAAATTGCATGGGAATAGTGCATAAAGGAAACTCCGCTATACAGTAATGAGGAAAATACGATGATGATAATTGTATACATCACTCAGCTAATTCAATGAGATGGTGCGTAGGTTTCATCTCGACTTCTATCTGAGAAAAGACGTGGTTGCAAGAACGAAGTTGGATAATTCCATGTCTAGAATGGGCAAGAACCCCAGCGTATCAAAAAATAACATAATTCGGGAGGAAGAGTGCGTGACAACACAAAGAGCCTTTAAAAAAAAAAAACTACATTCCCACCACCCTATAAGTACCACCTAAAAGCAAACTGCGTACTCCCAAACTAATGGATTTCGAAATTTCTAACAGAGTAAGAGATATTTGGAACCAAGCTTCGTGGTCATCATATGGACTTTGACGTCCTATGGTCTAGCTGTGTTTATCTATGATGTGATAATGTCAGGAGTCTAACGTTTTTTGCAATAAATAAATAAAGTCTTTTTTTTTTAGTGCAGTTTAACTATAACATCCTTTCTCATTATGTGTTCTTTGGTGAAATGTAGGAAGGTTTCAAGTTTCAAATTAGCTTTAGGAGTAGTTTCTAAATATTTGGTTTCATTTTTCTTATTTGTTCCTTTTAGGGCTTATTGTCATGAAACGTTTAGGTATTCTAATCCTTAATTAATTTTATTTCTCTTATAAGTTGTGTTTTTCTCCTATAATTATTGGATTTTTAATGAACATTAATCTGTCATGATGAATGACAGTTCATTTAAAATATTGTTGTATCCCTTAGTACAAAAGCAATGAATAAAAGTTATTTCTCTAAAAATAATATTTGAAATCTTCAGCATGTAGTTACAAATAAAATCTCCCCAAAAGATATTAATTAATATTTGTGATGTGTTAGTGTTCGTATGGTATACAGTAAATAAATAATTTATTGCAATAACTGAAGATTGACTTTTTGAGATTTCAGATGTCTGTATTACTAAATGAAATGTAATTTGATAAGCTTTTTACTGGTTTTTATTAAAATGATTATTTCATGATTTTAGCGATGATTGATATTTTGAAGTCAATGATTATTGGACTCATATAGTTTGATGACGTGTATTATATTACGAAAATTCGAAGATAGTTCCGGTAAATGAAGGTAAATAGCAATTCAAACGAAGGGAAGATGAATCTCAACTCAGTTACTGTTGAAAGTGTTTACAATACAGCTGAAGGTACTGTAACTTCAACTATTTCAGAGGGACAAGATTTGAGGCTGAAATCTTCTTATCCTGCTAGAGTAAATATCAAAACTTCAAATTTTTATTAATATTTATACTTACTCTTGTGTGCAGTGCAGTATATTGGTTCTACAAAAAACTAATAATTCTATCACTGTACTTTTATATGTATAGTCATCATTTTTTAAATAACAGAACAGGATTTTATTTGAATTTTAGACAATAGCACTACTAAAAGTTTGCGGGTGAGTTCGAGATAACATAGATTATTGTGAATTGAATATTGAGAAATGCTGAAAGTAGTTTAGTACTAATCATGTTCACATATATATACTCCTGCCATTATTTTTGAGTAGTGCTTTGGATGATTATGTTTACTTGTGTTTTTTTAGAAAGTTAATTAAGTTATTTTTCATAAATAATTTTATTTAGGGGAAAACAACTTTTTGTGATGGAATACGTACTGTAGATTTCATTTTGGTTTGGGATACTGAGTATTCATCTTGTATGGAAGCAGACTCTTTTCAAAAACGCAAGGCAAGATTTTTCATTTTTTTATATTAAAAATGTTAATTTACTTGATGTATTTATGTAATACAGTTGTAAATGTCATAAAGAAATAAAAAAAAAAAAAAAAATATTAATTTAAATATTAAACTATATTATTTTTTATAATACTTGAAGTGCAGCAAATTTATTTTGTTTAAGGATATATATGGTAATAGTTAAACTTTGAATGTACCTTGATACTGAAATTAAGGTAAATTTTAACCCTGCTGTGGGAGGAGGAGGGAAAGGCGGTTATTCTACAGGTATAATCAAACGTATTCTAAGCAAAGTTGTAATATCGAGATTCATTCTTTGGGTTCCCCACAAAATAAATTTCAAGCGGCCTAGGCCAGATTTGCATTATGTTTTAACACGCTTTGAAGGTTGAAAATTGCTGATCAGAAGCAATAAATAATAAATCTTGAATTAAATTATTTCAAATTTATTATTATTATCATTTCCTGGAATCTATTAGGTGGGGAATAGAGTCGCTACGAAGTTCTGCCAGGCATCTCGATCCTTAGCCAACTCCATGACTTCAGACCAGGTGTATCCGCCGCTGCGCATCTCCTTCTTCAGAGTCCTCCTCCACGTTTCTCTAGGACGTCCGCGTCTTTGCTGGCCTTGGGGGTTCCACTCCAGACTCTGTCATTTTATATCGCTGTGCTGCTTTCTGAGGATGTGCCCAAGCCATCTCCATTTACGACGTTTAATGACTTTATCTATCAGGGCTTGGTTAGTTCGTGTCCAGAGCTCGGCATTAGAAATGGTTTCAGGCCACCATACTCGCAATATATTCCGCAGACATCTATTGACGAATGTCTGTAGCCTCTTGGTTACCTGCTCGGTAACTTTCCAAGTCTCCCAAGCATACAGCAATACTAACATGACATTTGTTTTGAAGATGTAAAGTTTGGCCCCCTCCTGATTTCTTGGGATTTCCTCACTGGCCAAAGCTGCGAGAATGCTTTTTGGGCTTTCCTTATATAACTCGCTACATCTTCATCAGCCCCTCCATCTTTACTCACCATTCTCCCAAGGTAGCGGAATTTAGTAACCCTCTCTATTTTTTGGTCTTCTTTATTTCGTTTTAGTACTATTTCTTTTGAGGCACTTCGAGCTTTCTCTTGGAGTTCATTTAGCTTCTTCTGCATGTCTCTGAAACTTTGGGCGAAATAACATAAGTCACCCACAAAGTCCAGATCATCGAGTCTTTCCATCAACCTCTACTGAAGTCCTCGTTCTCTATGAAGAGCTCTCCTTAAAATTATGTCGAGTACCATCAGGAATAAGATATGGGAGAGAACACACCCCTGTCCAACACCAGTCGCAACATTAAAGGGCTCTGACACTCTGCCACAATGGATAACTTGACAGGAGGAACCGTAAAAAATATTTTCCAAAAATATTAATAGTTTTCCCTCGGTATTCCAAATTCCTTCATGGTTTCCCACATTTTCTTTCATGACAGACTGTCAAAAGCCTTTTCAAAATATATAAAAGTAAGATATAGAGTCAGAAAAAAATAAATAAAAACTTAAATCCCCCATTTCAAATTTAAATAAAATAAAAAAAAATATCAAAATACTGAATTTTGAAATAACTGTTCATTGAAGTCTCCTGTAAAACATAGTAAAAGTAACCACAAGTAGGGGGTGGGCAAGGGATAAGGCGAGAATATTTTGAAGATTTATTTTATTGATTTTTCTCTATTATCAACTTTAGCAAGAAAGATTCTTCTCAAGGAATTTTTTTTAAAATTTAATTTCCATTTTTTATTATTTTTTTTGTTATGTAACATTCTGTCAGATGTAATTATAGTGAGTTAAGACTACATTCACTCTATATATACGGACCATTACAAATTAAACACACGGGGATGTGTGTTTAACGGGATGTCGGGATTCTATTCAGTATAGGATTTGTTTCAGACGAATCTTTTCAAGAGATTTTTCAAAGAATTGGAAGTATCCTAATTGGTCTATAGGATATCAATCTGTTGGGAGGTTTATTTGGTTTTGGAAGTGGGATAACAGTGGAATGTTTCCACAAAAGAAGAAAGTGGGTGGTTCATAGGATGCTTCTGCATATGTAAGGAATATAACACCTTTAGGTGGAAGTTGTCAAAGGATCTGAGAGATAAGTAGGTCGTATCCAGGAGATTTATGGGGAAATAGTTTTTGTGAGTGATGTTTGACCTTAGAAGGATCAACTCCTTTTTAATTTACTACTTGGAAAGAATATTTAATGGAGAGGATCAAATTATTTCTGAGTTAGAATTTTTTATATTTATTAGGGGTAATTTTCCTTAAAATAATGTGATGGTCACTTGATAGAACATAAAGAAAAGAAGTTCATTATAATTATAAAATATAAATATAAAAAAGGAATATGAAACTACATTAGAACCAGATATACAAGTGGATCGACAGAGAGTTGTGGTAGTTATAAATCAATTTTTTAGCACATTTATACTCTTCTTCATTAGAATCTTCTTGAATTGGTGGGTCGGCTGGTGCTACAGAAGTTCATGCAAATACCAGAGCACGGTATCCTATGATTGGTTTTTACAGTCACATAGCAAACATTTGAGCATATACTTTCCTGCATCCACATCTTACACTCAATCTTACTGAGGAAAGATTAATGGCAAGATCATTTTTGGGGCGAATAGGAAGTTTGAAATTATTGGACGTATTGTATTCTTAAGATAGATTAAGTACCGATTCTAGAATCCTTGGAATCAGGAACTGGTGGACATCTGCCCAGGAAATGGAAATGTGGAGAACATCTCTTGAGGCAGCCAAGATCGAATAACGAATTGTCGACCTTGGAATGATGATAATTGTTTGCTTAGAAATGATAATTTTTTTGGTCAAATAAGGAAACATATAGATATAACTAAAGGATAGAAATAAAACCTGAAGTGGTTGATTTTTTTCATTTTAATTAAAAATATAAAATTATTATATTACTATAGAGTATTACTATTATTGTTCTTAGGTGTTTGAAGATAATCTGAAGTTGGAAGGATTAGAGCTTGAATACGAACCAGTTTCTGTAGGAAGTACTCTAAATTTTATCAAAATTAATGCTCCACTGGAGGTTTTGAGGAGATACAGTGAAATTTTAAAGCTAAGGCTACCGATGAAAAAGGTGATTTCCATTTTTGTTGATCTAAAACAATCATATATATTCAGGACTAATTATTTGTTATTTTATTATTTAGGAATTGTGTGTAGTTCATGACCATTCTTCAAAAACCTCAGTTTTTGATTCAAATTATGATAGGGAAGAAGTTTATGAAGTGAGTTAAGCAATCTAGGTGCATTTATTTTGACATCTTTTAATTTTATTAAACATCCTTTATTGTTTGTGTATAGATCTTGTTTTTAACATTTTTCAAACATCTTAATTTTAATTAATTTAACTCATCTATGTCCTTAGAAATTTTACCTATAAAATTAAAATTATGTAAATAATTTCCACTAAAGTAAATAGTGAGCCAAAACAATGTATTTATTTAATTGTGAGATGTTAGACAAATTAAGCGCAGAAGAGATGTAGGAGAATCTTCTTTGTCCCCCCCTTCCTGGCCTTTTAGGCTGTACAGGGTTTTCCCGGCCGACGGGTGAGGGCGGAGAATTTAAAATCCCTTCCGCCAGTGGGACTCGAACTCGTACTTTTTTAGTATCTCATAACTCTGGTTATCTGGTTGCTGGGCAACTCATGGTGCTCTGCACACGAGTTAGCCTATTCGGCCACCCCGCCCCCAACGTAGGGAAATCTTTTTTTATTTTTTGGGTCCTCTCCTTTCTTGCCTTTAAGGCTATATAGGGTTTTCCTGGGCCAGAGAGTGAGGACATGGATTTAAAAGACTTCCCCACCACCAGGACGCGAACCCGTGACTATTTTATCTAGTTATCTCATGTATATATTTGGTTGCCGGGCAATGGCGGTGCTCTGCACACACGTTAGCCCATTCAGCCACCCCGTCCCCAAAGGTAAGGAAATCTGTGAATCATTGGTTCCTATACAGTGGTGCATATTGATAGTAGCTCAGGCATAACCATGACACAGGCTCTGTTTTGTGCAAAAGGAGAAGTTCGAAAACTCGGATTTTTAAATAAGATATCAATAAATACAACATAATTAAAAATCAAAATTACTTCCCTTTTTGCAACACAACTACTCTTTTTGAGCTAGCTATTTTTCAGTAATAACTGAAATTCTGATTTTTTAATTGAAATTCCCGTGTACGAAATAACTGACCGTCATTTCATGGTTTAAGATATTATGTACTCTTATGTTGCTATCTTCCAGTTAAATGGATATGTTGAGCTCTCTATCTGATCACCAAATACTTATTTAATGTGGTAACATCTTGCGTTACCTGATCCAATTGTTTGTGTGTATATGAAATTACCATTCCTTCTCTCTTCCCTCACCCTTCATGATTACTCCTGATATAATAGTTGAGATATTTAGAATTTCTGGCTGTAACTATTTAATTGTGTAAATTTAACTTTTTAATTTTATTGTTTGTGAATAAAATGTGTAAATACCTGCATATGTTTGTGGATGCTGAACATGAATTTGAGGTTTTCCAACTCAATGTTTTTTTTAAAGTAAGGATTTAAGAAAATAAAGATTTTAATAAAGCACTTTTGAGAATAAAAAAAACGTGAAAAATTATGTTTTTTTTTTCCATTTTGTGCTTAATATTAAAGAAACTGCCTAAATTACTTGGACTATAGGTGAATTAACAAAAATATCAGTTGTAATTATGTATTCTTGTAGTTGAAAACAACTCATATTAACACACTCTTCATTAAAATTAAACTAATTTGGCTTCTTTTCAATAACGATTGTTGAAAATTCATATTGGTTATTATTTCATTGAATAAATTTTCATGCTAGTTGATGTTTTCTTGTTAATCAATATTAATTACTTAAGCTAATTTTCTTTTTAATTATTCTTGTATTTTTTTTAGTTAATCATTATTAACCAATTTAGCTAATGATCTTTTTAGTGTTATTGTATTTTTAGTTCAAAAGCTTCTTGTGCAGGAGGCTAACTATTTATTTTATTAGTCACACGTATTCCTGGATCACAATAAATTTGCCATCTACCTCGATATTCAGCAAATATCATATCAAGGAGAATAAAAATGGAGACTAAATACAAAATATATATATATATATATATATATATATTAAATTTCTTAGATCCAAAATTTCCCCTCGCATTTTATATTTAGATCCCAGGATACAATTTTGATTTGTTCCAAACATCACAAAAAGTGTAGTGGTGAAAGACTCAGTATAATGGTGTAAGACATAGTAGCAGTAAAAGAAATCTTAACTTTTCAAAGGCATAATTGTTCCCAAAATAAAACAAAACCTGCTGTGGCTCTTAGAAAACATCTTTATTTTTCCTTTTTTTTCTCTTGGGATTATTATAATTTAAAATAATGAATTTTAACCATTTAGGGAGATCCTATTAAACATGATCCTGGAATATCAGATGTGTTTCATAAAACTTCCAATTCAATCATGGAAAAGTTTATCTATGTTGACAAGAAAATATTTCCTGATCGAAGGCATCGATTTACTGCAATTTACAGTCGTGATAAGGAATATTTGTGAGTGGTTTTTGTTATTGTAAAGTTTATTTATGTTTTCCTCTACCAGTGTGTTTATTAATTACAATTATCATTATGCTTTGTACATATATTCTTTAAAAAAAAAAAAATTGTAGGTTTGACATCTTGTCTCCAAATTTTTTTACCCAAGCTGTTCGTTCAAGAATAATTCAATTTATTTTGGATAGAACTTTTTTTGGTGAACCCACTTCCAATGACATGTTCGTATTCGGCATAGAAAGACTTCTTAGCGATGTTGTATATACAGCTGCCTACCCTTTACATGATGTAAGTTATAATCTTTTAAGTTTTCTTGATTACATTTATTTATAAGTAAAAGGTTGTTACTACCCTATTGTTACTACAATATTGTTTTTCTTCCATCAATATTGATTACTGTAATAAGCAGTTAGAACATTGCTTTCTTAATACTAAATATTCATAATATTGTTTATTTTATTACATTAGGAAAACTTAAATACTTTGACGACTTATTTTAATTTCATCTGTTGCTGGACTTGAATTTGAACCAATTATTAGTTCTAAGAAATAAATAAAATTATATGCAGACACTATGCCAACATAATTCTTTGTTGTATTTGGTGTAGCACTTATTAGAAATACATATGTATATTACTTTGAGATATTATTGAAGTATAAAAAGAAAAGAGGAAGTTAATTTTGTGAAATAATTAGATTAGAATCATAAATATGCAAGAGTAATATTATTTTTCCTCTCATGTTTTGTTTTTATTCCAAGGGAGATTTGTACACTGGAGGGACTATGAGGCATACACTTTTGACGGAATGGGCCTCGGTAACCAAATGGTATAGATACCAACCTGTTGATTATGTAAGAGAATATTTTGGTGTTAAAATTGGACTATATTTCACCTGGCTTGGCTTTTATACTCATATGCTCTTTCCTGCTTCAATTGTGGGACTTGCCTGTTTCATCTATAGTTGGTCGACATTAGGTGAAAATCAACCAAGGTACTTTGTAATTATTTTATTAATTTACAATTGTATCTGCTAATAAGTATTGTTAATAAATTATGTGAAAATGAATATAGATGATAATAATGATTAATAAAAAAAATCATGTATATAAATAAATATGAGGAGCACATTACCATCACTAAGGTTATGTTCCCCTAATTTGTTTTTATAGAACTGGTATATTTTTTTTTTTAATTAATGCTTTTCTGAGAAAATTAAATCAAATTTTAAAATCTCATGTTTAAAATTTATTTCTCATGTTTTGCTTTTGCTGATTTTATAATTTGTTTCTATATTTAATTCATCAAAATTTAAAATTATGCCCAGACACATGTAAGAAGACATTTTTTGACATAAGTCAATTTATGAATAAGGCATTTTTTCCTACCTCTATTTTCTTCTTACTTAAACCCAATTAAACACATCTGGATGCAGGGCTACTGTGGAACAGAGGGCCTCTTCATCCGATATTTAAAAAAAAAATTATAAATGTTTTTTATAAAATAAATTATCCTAAAAGATAATGTTATCTATTTTTTTTTTATAGTAAATACAAGGCCTTACAAATAATTTCTATCCATTGTTCATAGTTGAAAATCCATGGAAAAAAAATATATAGACAAATGAATATTTGTTATTGTACAAATCCCTGTATATGATTGAGAAAGTACCAATAGAAACTTAAAACTTAATTAACCATAATGCATTTAATAAGAAAGTTGTTAGATCTGGAACTTTGAATTGATTTGTGTGGCCTTCTCTTATTATTTTTTTTTGCTGTAATTAATTATTTCATCTATTTTAGCCATGATATTTGCGATGGGAAACTTAATATTAAAATGTGTCCTTTATGTGATAAATTTTGTGATTACTGGGATCTTCAAGACACCTGTTTTCATTCCAAAGTTACATATCTTTTTGATAATTACACAACTGTATTCTTCGCTGTTTTTATGTCAGTTTGGGGTAAGTTAATTTCTATTTATGTAATTAATGTTTCTTTAGATCTATCAGTTTATAATTTTGTAAATTTTTCTTGGAAATCATAGGAATATAGTAATTTTGTTAAAAGAAAATTAACTGATAATGGTTTAAGTTGATTTTGTGCATAATATATAGATACTTCCAATTTTATTTTTTATTTTAATTTCCGATGATAGGTTATCTATATCCAACAGCAACAGTAAACTATGTCTTGATGTAGAAATACTATTTTACAGATATTTTATTATGAAATAGAGGTGAATTGGAAAAATATTTAAATTCTATTGTAATAATTTAATTTCATTCAATAATTTTAATTATTTAATATAATTTTATAATATTCATCAACATTGTTAGATTTTCTCCATTCTTCATGGTTTTCTGAATTTATTTTTATTGTTTTTGTGTGCTCAATTACTCTAATACTTCACTCAATGCACATTTATTTGATTGCTATGTGCAGTAATTTTTATTAAATTTCTTATAGATCTAGCAAAAAAATATATTTGAACACTATGGTGTATACTTCCAAGTTCCTTATCTTTTGCCTTTAGTTTTACCTGATTTTGATGGGTATTCATGCTTCCATCCATATTATTTCTTTTGTGTGTCCTGGACAGAGACAAACTTATTCTGTTCTTCTACTACTGACTATTCTGGTGATACTTATTTCAATTTTTGTATTACAAAGTTTAGTTTTAAACTTATTTTATTTTTTGTGACTTTTTCGCTGCTATAATTCTAAGCTGTCTCTTTCCAAAGCTTCATTAGATTAGGATATTCATGAAACAAATTAAATATTTAAAAAATAAAATGATAATTGTTTAATAATAATCTTGTATTTAATTTCTCAATACTTTTTTTTATATTATTAATTATGTTATAACAAACGACCAATGTTTATAAAATAACTTTCAAAAATGTCTTTTTCCGTTCAGGATAATTAATTGATTAACTTTGTTATTTGGCAATGATTACTTCCAATTAACAACAATTGAATTTATTTGTTGTATTATCAAATTACATGTTTACAAGTTAACGTTTCAGGATATTTACTCCCATCTTCAGAGCCACAATCACAATGATCTTGTGGATACATGGCTTAAATCTAATGTGCTCCATCGCCAGGTTCTAATTCAAGTTATAATAAATCTAGGTATATAACATCTAGAGCAACATCATGCTTTTAGACTAATTATTGGGCGTCTGTTTCAATTGTTGTTAATTGGAAGTAATCATTACCAAATAACAAAGAATATCAAACAACTTCCCAGAAAAAAGAAAAAAGTTAATAGATTAATTTTAAATATTATTAAAAGAATAGTGATTAAACTTGTTTTTAGATTATATCAGATTTCGTAGATTTTTTATTGATGTAATTATTAATTGTTTTTAATTTTATGGAATCTAATTTTCCATAATAGCTTGTTACTTTTCACTCGGTAGTTATCATTCTTGAAAATTTCTTTTTGATATATATTCCATATTTATTGATAAAGCAAACAAAAATTTTGATTGCACTAATATTATTTTTGAATGGAGCGGGCCTAAATTCTGATTCTGATTAGTTCAGATTGATTCAGAATTGTTATTTTATTAGATTCTAAACATGGTTTATAATAGAAACCAGTTTTTCTGTAGTAAGTATTATTATTGTATAATTTATCAGCATAAGGATTATATATGCTTTATTTAAGGATAAGATCCAGTTCATTATTAGAGGTTGTACTCAATGTAAATAAATATGTGCTAAAAGATTAGTATTTAATAAAATATATGTATTAATAAATTTAATGAAAATAATTTGATTTCTGAACTATCTGGCTCTCAAAGTGAACTGGAAATTTAGTTTAAATTTGTGCTACATACAATGTAAAGTTAAAAATAAAGACATAAAAAATTAAATACTTTCCTTGCATATAATATTTTAATATTTAAGAAAAAGTAATTGAGCCATGAAATCTTTCCTTAACCTCAGCCCATGGGAATAGCAGCTTAGAAGTGTTTGGAAAGACAAAAGTAAACGCCAGCCTTTTCTCCAAAGCTAAATTTTTCATAATTGTTTATGGTGAAAATATCTGGAGGTTATGTGTTTTGCGTGTAATTCCTAATTTCAGTCTCATTTCTCAAGCTACTCCTTGAATTTCTGTTTTTAGCAGTGACTTTCCTAGAGCTTTGGAAAAGATACAGTGCTGAAATGACTCATCGGTGAGAATCTCTTCTTAATAAGAGCTGAATTTGACAATTGATTTTTTAAATTTTTTTTTTCTCCCTAATGGTCATCTTTAGTTCGAGTTGATTTAATTAACTGTGTACATATTGTTTTAACAAAACATATGTATGTATTTTTTTGTTTGTTCTTATGATTTGAAACATTAACCCAGCTTGTTTCTTTTGTTTTGGATTTTATTAATTTTGGGCATGATTGATCAAAATATTTCTGTTAGGCACAGTTGCTGCAGCATATATTATATCTTTATTTTTAAAAAGTTTACTTTGTACAAAGACTTAATGCTCCAAATATTGCTGTATTTTATTTGCCATTTTGCTTTTTTTATTAATGCACCTTAACATAATTATTAATTTTTTATAAATATTATGCAATCATATAAGTTTATATATTGTATTTTAACTTTATTTATGTATAAATACTTAAGTATTCAATATTTGACCTGAGCCTTGGTTAGTTTAAAAAAAAATTAACATTATGGCATATTTTTCTTACTCTTTTCAATTTTATTTTTTAATTCTTATTTGATTAAATGAATTAAAATAATTTTTAAAGAGATAATTTTAAATAAATATAATATTTTTTATTATTTTATGTTCATTAAAAAATCAAAAGTCATGGATTTTACTTTTTTGAATTTATTCTATTGAAGCTTTATGTTTAGATGCTGGAATGAATGTTATGCACTTTGAATATCATAAACATGAGGACAATTAGGCGTTTTGAGTTCAATTCATAACAGAAAACTTAATGAAAGTAAACTATTCCCACAAACGCTCATGAAAGGCCTTGGGAGCAATTACTTTAGTGCTTGGTTTTTGCTTACTTCCATTTTCCTGTTTCAGCGATCTGAATAATATTTTGTTAATTGATTGGATTAATTTGATTAACTTCGTGACTGAGTTCAATAAAATATGTTTTTCCTATATTTTTAATGTTTTTAGCTGGGACTTGACTGGATTTGATTGTCAAGAAGAGCAACCACGACCTCAGTACCTGGCCAGAGTAGAAAGACTGAAATCTAGATCAAAAACAAAAATAAATGTAATTACAGGTGTTATAGAGAGGAAAGTACCATTTTGGACAATTCGTTTTCCAGCCACCATCCTCAGTTTTTCCATTGTACTACTGCTGGTAAATATTAGTAATTAGTAATCTTAATTATTGATAATTTAGTTGTCAGTATCCTACATTCCTATCATTGTATTAAACCTAAACTTAAATACCCAAGTATGCATACCACTCATGCGTGCCTTATATCAACTTCCTATACTGTTACACCTTTATAACTTTTGATCTACACATGCTCTTTATTCATCCCCTTAATCTTTAACCCTTTGCTTGAGCTATTCACTTTTCATTTGTCTTACTTAAATTGTCTTAAGTTATTATTCTTGTCAACCTTATTAATCAAATTTTAAATTAAACTTTTTCTCTATTAAAAGTATTTCTTTGGTCTTCAAGTTTCAAAGGATGCATTAATCTCAAGTTGTAAATTCTAAAATAATTATTTTTTCCTAGGTGACCTTAGCATTAGCAGCAGTATTAGGAGTTGTTCTGTATCGAATGTCTGTTTTAGCAGCACTCAGTGTTTATGGTGGCATCGACATTTCATCGTATGCCATAATTTTTACAACTACAACAGCTGCAATTATCAATCTCGTTTGTATTGTCATATTCCATTGGGTATGTTTTTACCTTAGTAATTGTTATTGATTGCTGAAGTGGTACATGCTCTTTTTTTTTTTTTTTTTTTTTTAAAGATTTTCTTTTTTTTGAAATTGTATTTAATTATGTTTTAAGGTAATTGTTTAATGTGGTGTATTAGTGATATTGTATATGACCAGTGTTATGAAAAGGAAGAAAAAAAAATAATATGTCTATAAAATAATGGAATAATATAATGTAAGATCTATGTCCATGTGGATTGATCAGTATGCTGTGTATAAAGCAACCCTATGTTGTAGGGCAGCATTATTTTCAATAAAGTATTTCTCTCTTTAGTTTTCTCCATTTATGAGTTGAGATAAACAGATAAGAATCAATAAATTTATCCTTGGCTGATGGTTTTTTATCTCACCATGATTAAAAAATCTATTTTCACATTAATTTATTTCAGAATAAAAAATAACAGGAAAAAGTGATTTATTTATACTTTGGTGATATTTATTTTCAACAAGCATGTCCATTTTCACAATTTTCTTTTTATTAAAAAAATATATTTATCTGATACATTATAATTTTATTCTTTAATAAGTATATATTTGCAATATTTTAGATGTATTCTTGGCTCGCAGAATATTTGACTGAATTAGAAATGCATCGGACTCAGACAGAATTTGACGATTCTCTCACGCTGAAAATGTATCTTCTAGAGTTCATAAATTATTATGCTTCTATATTTTATATTGCATTTTGTAAAGGAAAACTAGTTGGATATCCAGGAAAATATAATAGGCTTTTTGGTTATCGCCAGGAAGAGGTAATGTTGAAAATAGATACTTACACATTAATGGTTTTTTAATCTTATACTAATAAATATAAGATGCTATATAAATATAAGATGATGAAAAATATTTAATTGCATTCACTAACTTTTCCCATGTGAACTTCAATTATTGCTTCTATGTTTCTGTAATTTTTAATGCCTGAATATAGGTTTAATTTTTTTTTTTATCTGCTTGGGCGATAAAACAAATTCATCTCATAAAAATTTAAATTGCATTTTTATTGACCCTAAGTTTGTTTTGTATCGAGGGTGTCCTCATATCCTAATTACTTTTTTGACATATTTCTAAACTTATCTATAATTCAAAATTTATCAAAATGGTGTTGTCATGAATGTTTCCTTTTCAATCTAATTACTTATGGTAATATTTTACACGAGTTAATTTTATTTAACTTAAAAAATAAAGTTTGGTAAATGTCTATATATGATTTCAGTGTGGCCCAGGTGGATGCCTGTTAGAATTATGTATTCAACTTAGCATAATTATGGTTGGGAAACAAGCGATGAATACTATTCTTGAAATGGTTCAACCGTAAGTGAACGAATATTTGTGTGTGTTATAATTTATTTCTTCTTATTTTTCATTATATTTTATTGAATATTATTGTTCGAATTCATAAGTATGTTACAAGATATGCACTTGATCAATTTTTATATTATGTAGCACATTCTTTAGAGTTAATAGTAAACCTTATAAAGTTTAGTTATTGTATTATCTCTCAATCTCTCTATAAATACACATTTAAATTTCTCAAATTAAAAAATATAGCATTAAAATAAGCTGTCGTAAAATATCATTGTAGTTTATCATAGAAAAATTCTATTGTGTACAGTTAAGAAGATCCTGAATTGCTAGTACTCATAAGATTAATGATTTAATTTAGTTTTAAATCAGTAAATAATGTTAAGCCATCGAAATAAATGTTTCGTTTAAGGATTTTTTTTCTATGTGATTAATTTATTAAGTTTTTCTAAGGATGGTCTACAAATGGTGGAAGAAAAGAACGATTAAAAGAAATCGTTCAGAAGGTAAAAGAATGCCACAGTGGGAAAAAGATTATGAACTTGTGGAATGGGGTCACCATGCACTATTTCCCGAATACTTGGAAATGGGTAAGTATATAACATAAATCGTTAATGATGTTAACAATTCATCAATATTATAATATATTTTGCATTTTAGTTCTTCAATATGGATTTGTTACAATTTTTGTATCTGCATTCCCTCTGGCACCACTTTTTGCTCTGGTAAATAATATTCTAGAAATGAGGCTAGATGCCAAAAAATTACTGATGTATCACAGACGACCAGTTGCCCAACGCGTTCGAAATATTGGAATATGGTTCCGAATTCTGGATTCCATTAGTAAACTTGCAGTCGTCACTAATGTAAGTTTGGTAAAAGCAATAAGTTTTCTAACATACAAAGGACAATAAATTATGAAGATGTAAAGATTAAACATTAGATTATTCAGTCTTTATTATTGTTGAACAATCCATTCCCTCTGATCCCAACATTGCTGAAGTGTTGTACATTTTCTATTTTGTTAATTACAGTGGTTGCTTATATCTATTACTTTAAACATTACACCTTGTTTCTTTAAGTTGAGAATATATTGAAAGCATATTGTCTTTTTCAATCATTTTAAGAATTTGTTCTTCCTGTCTCCTGGATGTATACAGGAATTCATACCTATTTTAACTAGTCTTGCTGTATATCAAGACTTATGCTCCAGTGAAATTTCATAGCTTTATTTATTTGTATGATTGTTCCTAAAGATACTTGCTAATTGCTCCTTGTTAATTGTTCCTTGTTAATTGTTTCTAACAACACTTTACAAGTAATTTTGATTGGAGTGATTTTACTCTTTATTTTATTTCAAGGGTTAATATAAATTTTTTGTGTTCATGTAGTTCTTTATGAAATATTCTCATTTCAATTTTGTGTCAACATTTGCTTCATTAATTTTTTTCATGCATAATTATTACTTTAAATAGTTATTACTAGATAAAACATTCATTACTATTCTATATAAAATACAACTTGTGCTTATGTGGAATATGATTGAATCAATGTTTGCTAATAACACTATTTGTCACCTGATAATATTTATTATTTCTTATGGAAGGTACAAATAACTTAATTTTAATTAAATTGCTGATCAATTTGAAGATATTTTTTTATAATTATTTAGTTGATCTTGACTATTTTTTTCTTTTTAACCACCAACATACTCATTAATAAAAATAGAATTATTATTTCTTCATTATTACACAGCATATTAAAATTCGGTTTCAGGGATTTATCATCGCGTTCACATCCGACTTCATACCTAGGTTGGTGTATACTCTGACAGTCAGTGAAGATAGATCACTTGCAGGATTTCTCAATGATTCTCTTGCTGTGATGAACACTACTGATCTAGACTTAGATCATCCTCCTTTTCCATCAATACCTCTCTGCAGGTATATTTTGTATACCTTATCACAAAAAAAAAATTATTCTGTTAGAGTGGAAAAGGTTTGGTTTATTTAATTTTCTATCACAGCCTTATTAATAGACCTAAGTTTGTTATACATTGTTTATTTTTCTAAATATGTTCATATTGAAGTGGGATGCTTGACTGAGAAATAGTTTTCACATACCCAGAATGAAAGAGATGCAACTCAAATACAATATATCTTGGTTATAACTAATCTTATAGGCTAATATAATATAATACAACTATTGTTAAACGCCGGTTTGAATTCCGGTCTGGGAGTGTTAAAATTTGTTTCATGGAGGACTTACGGTATGAATTTCAACCTTCCCACTCTGAATAGACTAGGTTTTGTGGCCATAATTAATATTAGATTTATTATAAGTTTTGTATAATATATATTATACATTATATTACAATATAATAAAATATAATGATGTAATGATAATATTATATATTATTATAAGTTCTATGTATAAACCCTTCAGGATTTTATAAACAGAGTATTAATAATAGAGTGTATAAAAAAAAATGACTGTTTTATTAAATTCAAGATTTCAAAGGACTGTAAATATTTTAATCCAATTTAATACTTACCAATACTTAACTCTCCCTTTAGAGCATTCTCTAAGCTTGTTTAATCCCATTCGACTTCTTAAAAAAAAAGCCTCAGTTTAGTTATTTGTTTTAAAGATGAAACATGTCAGTGTGCTAAGAAATTTTCGTAATTTTAAGGCATTACTGGAAAAAAAAATTTACAGCCACAACTCGTGAAATTATTAAATATGAAGGGAAAAGTGTCCTTGACCAGCGCACCGTGTGGCATTGGTTTGAAAAATTTAGAAGTGGAGATAAGACTTTGGAAAGGAAGAAGGGCTTTGGGCGACCATTAATGGATGAAGTTCTGCAGGAAGCTGCTAGTCAAATCCGTCCACAAGTACTCACGAACTTGCCAGAGAGTGGTGTGTCGAAAGATACTGTTAGTCGCCATCTACTCTTCATGGGGAAGGCGAAAAAGAGCAGGAGACTGGTTCCTCACGAACTTACTCCTTAGCAATCAGCTAAGAGGTTAGAAATTTTTTAATTTTGGGGACGTTGAAATTGTGGTTCAAGAGTTGTTTGACAGCCATCCCAGAGAATGGTATGAGCCTGTGATCGAGCAATTGGCTAGCAGTGTCTAAAGACAGTAGATAACAATGGACTATACTTTGAGTATTAATTGTATTTTATGTCAAAGAATTAATAATACAAATAGTTGGTTGAAAAGTGGTCATTTTTTTTTATATACCCTATTAGTTTGTAGTTCACATGATCTGTCTATTGATTTAGCTTCACATTTGAGGATTTGTTCTCAAAAATGATTATTTTCATTTAAAAACACTTCTGATAAATCACAATTTTCAATCGTGCCCTATTCAGTCTATTAGTGTGGTATGTAAATACCATTTCAAAAAAGTATTAATTGTCAATTTGTTTTAATAATTCAATTATATTTATTTAGAGTATGAATGTTCATGTGTCCTTATGGTGTAAACTTGAATTGTTGTATTCCTTAAGATTATAGAAATGGTTTGCAAGTCATATTTTTTATTTTTGTTTGCTAGGTATCCTGATTACAGAGAACCACCTTGGTCTCCAAATAAATATATGAAAACCACTATGTATTGGAGGGTTCTTGCAGCAAGGCTCACGTTTGTTGTCATTTTTGAGGTAATTATAATTTGTTCATTCTTAAATTCCTATCATGTACTACATACTATAAGATTTGTTTCATGACAGCAAGTTCGAAAGAAATTAGTAAATCAGGCTACTTTTTATTTTCTGAGTACTAATTAATAAATTAAAATTTTATAATTCTTATGAAGCAATCAGGATTAGAAAGTGATGTCATTTCTGTATTAATTTTGTTATGTAATAATTGTTTATTTATTGGTTTTAAAATGATTAAATTAAACAGCTTTCTTGAAATAACTTCATCTTTGTTCGTAAACATTTTGTATTTTTTATATCATAGTATGTTGATTCACCAGAGAGGAAAAATAAAAAAAGAACCCTACATAACATAAATAGTGGCAGATAAGTTCAGTCTCCTAGATTCTGACATAAAGCACTTCAAAAGTTCATAATTGCCTATTGCAATCTATTTGACATCTATATTAATAATTAAATATATTGTCCACGTTATATGTTTACCAGTAGGCCTGTGCGAACATTCGCACAGTATATTGTTCAGTTATAAATTAATATGAAAATAAAGTAATGCAACGTATCATAAAAGAAATCAATTGTTACTTTCTCGCTAAATATAATCAACAAAGCAAACAAAAATTAATTTAAAACATCTTTAATGTTTGGAACGAACATGTTTACAAATTTCAATAAGCTGTATTTTTGATAATAATTGTCCGATTTCGATTTTTTTTTTTCCCTTTTGTAGGGAATTTAGTAATCTTTTATATTATCATTGACATAACCATGAGAAAGGTGTTTAATTTTTGAGTTATTCTCAAATAAAATTTCTTTTCTTTCATAACTTTTTTGACTGAATTTTCTTGGTGATTGGCCTATTTTCCTGCTTGAAGGAGAAGGAAACGTTCAAAATTGGTGACTCAATCTTGTGGATTTGATGAAGAATTAACGATGATACAACTTACCGACAAAAAAACACCTTTGATAAACAATATAAACTCCTCCTCTCTCTCGATCATAGGGACCTCAAGTTGACGAAATGAGACATGTATTACATGACAGTACTACAATTAACGTAAGGTTGTGTGGATGCGAACCCTTTGCCTTGCATTATCTCGAAAATAGTAAGTTTTTGGGATTAAAAACGCAGGTTCCGATAGTCCCTTCGGAACTATCATGGTCTTGCTGTACAGCATCAAAGTCTTCAAAGCCCAATTTGTCCCGTATCGATCTACAGACTAACCACCATTACAGTATCAAAGCCTAGCAAAATGTTTATATCGACTTTATTTATTTTAGAAAGAAAAATAAAAGCGGAGAGTACAATTCGCTAAACCCCCATGAAATTCTGAATTCAAGGGTACTCCATTCATGGTATTTGAGCATGACAGGAGCTTATATTTGGTACGAAACCGATTTCGAGCCTTACTGTAATAATATATGTAGGGATGTAAATTTAATTCAAACAAGAAATAGCTAACAATAATTTCATAAATATTAATTTTATTAAAAAATGTTTATGGTTTTGCAGATTTAAATAATTCACCTATCAGGGTGTAATAGATCTACTAATATAAATATCTAACTTCCTTAATTAGTTTCTTTTGATGATTTTATCATTGCAGAATATAGTGGTGATGGTTGTTGTGTTCGTCGGATGGTGTATTCCTGACGTTCCTACTCGCTTAAAAGAACAAATAAGAAGGGAAACTTTTATCACTAACGAAATAATAATTCATCAAGAAGCAATAAGGTTCGTATTTATCATGTTATCTTGTTTGATTGTTTTAAAATAAATATATTATATATCTTTAAAATATTATTTCTTGTATTTTTTAAAAGTTTTTTTTTTTAATCAGGACACGAAACAGTAGATTTGAAAATAATGAACAGGATCAAAAAAATAGTGACAATGACCACAGCATGATGTTTCAACCGCCCAATAAGCAGTGGAATAAAGATTTTAGTTTAAAACCTCAAGATGAGGCATTAGTGCATCGCCCACCTGACTATGGTGAAATATTTGAAGACACGGTTTAAATTTGATGCTTGAAACCATTTTTGGACCTGTTTTCTATCAATACAGACTAATTTGTATTTGTTATAGTGATACAATGATCTCTTCAGTCCAAAAAAAATTTTTATATCGGATTTTTGTTAAACAAATTAGCATTTTTCTTTTCTTTCGCTAAAGCAACACTGTTTTGTGATATATTGAATTGGAAGATTTTTAGTCTTAAGATTCCCGAGATAGTAAAGAATGGATTGATCGATGATTGTCTTCAAACTTATTCAAGTATTTTTTGAAAGCTTGTTTTTGCAGTTTTACGAATTATTTAATTATTATTTCCTGTTCAGCTTCTGTTATGCCATTGCTTTTTCATGATGAGGAAAAATTGATATTTATTTAATTTATATAAAATGTAAAAGCATTTAGTTTTACTCCCTGCTCTTTGCAGGTGCCATATTAAGGAGGGTACCATGTTGTATTAATACCCAAAGATAACATATGGATTTGAACGAATAAATTTTCCTATTTTATTAACCAATGCTGTATTGATTACTGTTAAAGTGGTTTAATGTTTATATTTATGCTAATTACTGTTTTACTAAATACTTTTAAATTGATTATGTACTTTGGATAATTGGAAAGTTATTCTTTTTATTATTGTCATTAATAACTATGTGCCTTATTCCTCCTACCTGATAATGGTTTAGATAAAAATATAGCCTGATAACTATAAACATAATATGTAAGTATAATGTATCAGATGAATTCACCACCCAATCACTTCTTATAAGCATAATTAGTTATTATAGTAATTTTTTTTTTCCAATAGAAAAACATAAAAAGAAATATTGTACTGTATATATTATAAAACCTGATATGGAACCAAATTTGTTCCTTAATGTCTAAAATTTAATAGGAAAGTGGAAATTTTTTATTCTTAAGATATTTTTAAACTCCCGCATGAATTCAAAGCTTCTCTACCTTTGCTAGTGAGGAAGAAAAAATGTTCTACCTTGTTTTTGCTGAAATATGAATATAAATTCAAGTATAATAATTTTGATACGAGTCAAACAATTTTTGTATGTCATAATTATAAAAAAAATTATATTAATGATTGCCAAAGGATGTTAAATAGATAAAAATTGTGTTAATTTTACTTATAATGAAATAAATTCCTGACTACAGTAATGAATAAAAGAGCATGGTACTTAAAATGTGCATAATTTACTTTAAAATCTGTGTTTGTCTATGAAATCTTCCTAAAAATATTTCACATTTACACTTACCAAAATTACAGTTACTAAACTAAAATAAATATTGATGATCTTATATAATTTTGGAAAAAAGAAAATTCATAGCTTTTTTTTTTTAAGAAACCATAAAATGATCTATTAGAGAGTTTAAGGAGAAACAAAGCGAGTGGATTTCAAATTCATAAGGATAATTTGTAATTCTAAAATTACAGCAAGAATTATTGTTTTTGAGGTGACTTTCAAATAAATGTGTTAAAATACTAAAATAGTTTATTTAAGATTTCATATACCTGTAAGCTATAACAATTATTTAATAACAATTACAAACATTGTTATCATTATAATTTTTTCAATAGCACCTTAGTGCGATGATATTAAAAAAATATTAATCTGTACAGACCGATTCCTCAGCTCGTTCCTTATAGTATATGCCATTAATGGTTTCTTCTTTCATTTTATGTGTTGGTCTTTGTGTATTAGAATAGGGGATATCACAGCATACTTCTGTCCTAAAGAAACTTTGAAACTTTCTGGCACCGGATTGTTTGATTGAAGGGAATCTATGCCTGCCTTCATACCTAGCTCCACACACTCTGGCTCGGTTAAACCAGATAAAGCTCCAGCGATGAAGCCAGATGCAGTGCTGAAATACATACACAATAATTTTAGATAATAAGCATGAAATAAAAACGATGCCAGTTTGATTTTTGTAAGTTACTTTATATTTTACACGATCTATGATATATTCCTCACTTTTCCTGATTAATTATTAAAAATTGGCATTTGCAACCCCAATGTATATATGATTGTACCATATGAAATCATTAAAACTAGTGATTATCTAATATCAATTATGGCAATGAAATTGCTATGATGATAATGGATAGAGTTTGCATTCATTAATTATCATTCACTACTTTAGATTGTGAACGTGAATAAGTAAATAAGACAGGAGAAAATGTCCAATAAATAGAGGGAGACTAATATGACCAGTACATAAAAAAGGCAATGTTCCAGCATGTACTAATTATCGTGGCATTTCATTGCTGTCTAATGCATATAAGATCTTTTCCTGCATCCTTTTTGAGAGCCTCTTACATTTTGCCCTAGAGGTTATTGGCAGATACAATATAGGCTGTATGAAAGATAAATCCACAATTAATGAAATATTTACACTGAGAATATTATTGAGAAAATGTAGAATGTAAGATAAATACTCATCATCTCTTCATTAATTTTCAGGACAGTGTAATGAGAGGGCTTTGTCTAAGAGATTGACTTGCATGCCTACTTTTTAACTTGACTCTGGAATATGTAATGAGAAGATTTAGAATCCAAACTGGGGATTCAATTTTCAATAGAACTACAATGATCCTTTGGTAAGCGGATGACATAGACATAACAGAAAGAACTTAAGAAGTCATTAAAAATGTAACCTTGGACTTCAGTGGGAACTGGAAGAATGGGGCTAGTAATTAATGAGTAGAACACAAAACATATGACTATATCCTCCTAGGGAGAAAAGCCATACATACATATAGGGTCATTCCATATCAAATCAACCGAAGATCTTTTATTTTGGTTATTTGTATTGGTGTAAAGAAAAATACAATATTTCAGATTTTTTGGATTTCTAGTGTTTGAGTTATAAATTTTTAAAATGATAAGAAAAACGTTGCGTTGTTAAAATAGTTTTTGGACTATTTATCAAAAGCTATTTGGGCTAGAAATTATACATATTTTTTTTTTGGATTTGTGCATATATATATATATATATATATATATTTATTTAAATGTTACTTAGGTGCAAGGTTATTCAAAAAGGTACAATCACTTAAATACATAATATTATACTACCCAACCTTTTAGAATATGATCATGTATTATATAAAAAAATCCAGTTTTCTAGTTCAAATAGTTTTTTTTAGAAATAGTCCAAAAATGCACCGTTCCTTGTTTTTTGTTTTTTTAAAAATCATTTTAAAGTTTAAAACAAAAACTGCAAGTACATAAAACTATCGAAATCCAAGATCTTCATGCACAGCCCCAGGTTGATTTGATATGGAATGACTCTACAGCCACATAAGAAGAAGAAACTTTATGCCTGAGAGAGACAATTAAAAACAAATCTATTATAGATTGTAAGTAGTGAATATAGCACAAATTAACAGATGATTAAATTACGATTCCGTTACAATAAATGTTCTTACCAATCTCCTGCTCCAGACGTGTTCTGTACATTTGATATTTTGATTGGTTGGTAATATCGAAAATAACATTCACTGATCTTTTTAGTAAAACCATTTAAAACTGGTTCATCTGTTGTCAAGCAACTCACCATCTGTTAACAGAGAAAATTGTCGGCTGCATTGAAATATTACTAATATTTTGTTAATTTTTTTTTCATAAAAAATTATTGAAATACACTAAATCATTTTATACAAATAACAAGTTTTTCAAATGAATTTAATTTTCTAAAATATGAATACATTATGAAAAATATTAGTTACATGAATTATATATGAACTGTTTTAATACTTACCAACATTCCATGCTGTCCCATTGTTACCATTACAATAGGAATTTCCAAAGTAAGAGGAGTCACCAAAAATTTTATTTGTTGTAAGAGTTTTTCTATATTGATGAAGTTGAATTCCTCATTAAAATCTTGACCTTGAGATTAAATAAAAATATTAGAGATTATAATCATCAGAAATTAAAAAATGATTTACAAAATAAACCAAATGAATTTAAAAGTAACAAATTTATTACAGTTCAGCACCTACTTGAAACATAGTTAGGTATTAATTTTAATTGTTATTAATTACTAAAGAATGTAAATTTTTGGAAATACATAAATTAAAGAGATAAATGGAATAGTTATAAGTCTAAAACTTTTACAGAAACATTATATTATAACAATTAGTAGTCAAAAGAAAATATTTACCTAGATGTCTTGCCATTTCTTTCAGTTCAGCAAGATTTGGCGTCATAATGGCTATATTTTTCCATAAATCAGTTTCCAGTGGTTTACAGGCCTTGGATAGATCGGTAGGTTCAAACCAAACTAAAAAAAAAAAAAAAATGTCAATTTTCAAGAACTGTAGGGAATAACAGAGGTATAAGTAAGGTGCATAATGTACCTGGTACATTAGAATTACTAGCAATTTCGAGAGTAGCATTAATTGTTTCTTGAGGTATGTTTCCATCCATTATTAAGATTGAACCATTCTCAATATCTTTCTTGTATCTCTTCACCTGGGGAAATCAATCAATTTCTATCAATTGATAGAGCATATGTTCAATCAATATGCTATGCAGTTTAGTAAAAGAAACGTACTAACTCTTAAATCAGAAATTAAATTCATTAAAAAATACTGCTATATGTAAAATATAATACCTATCTAATAAATTTCTCTATAATAAAAAAAAAAGGAGGTGAATATTAGAAAATGGAAACATATTGGAAACCATTAAAGTGCATTTAAACATTTAACAAACAATCATCTAACTTAACTAACATCGACATTATTGCAAAACGATACTATTTATTTTATTTCTCTTCATACTGAAACCAAATGGAAAATATCAAAGACAAGGAACAAAAATACTACCGTAGTGAAATAACCATTTATATATTTGTTTGTGAAGTGTCAAAACGCACCTTTAGTGATATCCTTTAGTAAAGCATCAAAGTTGTGGATTTCATTAATTTCTTTTAGATGTGTAATTTATTCAACCTAAAACAATCTAGTTTTTAAGGCTTAAAGCGCTTGCTCAAAAGAAGGTGTTTTCTCTTAACCTCAAATTTTTACTAACTATTCAAAAAATAAACAAAATTTATGTATTTTAGTTTTTTTGATTCGCCTAGTATTTCACCATAAAATAGTAGTCAAAATCTTAACTAAAACAAGATTTTTTAGAAATAATTTGTTCCAGATTCAATTAAAAATAGTTATCAAGCGATCAGGGCACTCTAGCAATAGCAGGTACTTTCTGTAACAATATTCTGATATTTCACCAGTGAATAAAGAATTTTTAAAGCAAATATTCAGAATATATATTAAAAAATGTATATTTTTTTTAGTGATCCGTTGTTTTTACACCCGTTATTTACTTAATTTCTATTAGTAAATATCAAGCAAAATTCTTCAATATTTTCACATTATGTTATTTCAATAAGAATTAAAGAAGAAGAAATTGAATCATAATATCTTTTGGACAATGTTTAGGTAATGTAAGAATTGTTTAATGTTCAAATGTTCAAAAAGTCCAAAAGGAAAGGAAAAAAAAAAAAAGGAAGGAGAGGCTTTCAGGCCAAAAAGCTCCCCAAAATAGAAAAAAAATTGATTTTCATTGGTCTATGTTTGTTACTGTGAGTGTTCTAAGCTAAATACTTAAACAGTAACAATAATGCATATACAGCTACTGAATACAACCACTTCTAATCAAAAATGTATTAAAACAGTATTATTGTTCGTGTAATTTCAGTTTTAATAGGATTTCAAGATTCACTTAAACAACATTTCATAGAGGTAATTAGTTTTTTCATTTTTCTTCCCAAGTAATTATCATTATATATATATTTATAAAAAGCTTCTGGGCTGAAGGCTTCCAGAAATAAATTCTGGCTCCGTGACTAATTAAATTCGTCAAAGCCTTTTTTTTTTAAATATATTTTATTTTAAATTAGTTCATTATGATGATATTTCAGTTAGTTTAAAATAATTCAAGTGAAATTTAATAATTTATTATTAATATTTTAATATCTAATGAAGGATTTATGACTATAGTTATGCATAAATGATCACCTGTTCTTTATCGATAGTATTGTGAATATCCATGTCACCAACACCGAACCTGGTTTCCCCATCTTTGTCAATAAGTGTAGTATAGCAAGCAGTTCTGCTGCCTTCCTTCGTTTCTACAGCAGAACAATTCTGTAATACATACATTCCTTAGAACATCAATACTCATAAACATTTTGTTTTATATTAACAGAGAAGAAATAGGGTGTAACACCCCTTAGAATGATTTAAGGTCTGCCTATTCTATAACTGAAAAATATACAATATACATAAAACTTTTTTTTATTTTTTATTTCTTAATGACATTTAAAACTGTATTACATAAATACATCTAGTAAATTTGGACATAATAGATATAATGACATGAATACACTTGCTGAGTAACTACCCAATGGTAGCACTCTAATGATATGACTACATTAGGAGATCACGGGGCCATCTTCTTTTCAGATGCCTCCGAGGGTTATCAGGAATTGAAGAGGAAGCAAGGTTAGAAACGAGAGGGTTAGGATGATTCTGAAGTTTATTATGGAAAGATAGATCTGGATTGGGCCAGATCTGAAACATAAGGAACATAAAGATCTTTATGGATAATTTTATTAGAGACAAAGTAAGGAGCATTGAGGATTTTACGAAGGATTTTGGATTGTAAGGACTGGATGCAAGATGAATTCGATGGTTTAGTGGAGCCCCATAGTTCAACTCCGTAAGTCCAAATAGGTCTTATTATAGTCAAGTATATGAGTCTTTTGTAATTAATGGGAAGTTTAGAACGTTTGTCTAGTAAGTGCTGAAGTAATCGGAAACGTCGAGCGGTTTCTTGTCGTTTCAGTCTAGTATGAGGATTCCAAGTTAGTCGCTTGTCCAGGTGGAGTCCTAGGTATCTAATTTGCTCAACAGGGATAAGTGGAGTATTGTTAAAGGAAACTGTAGGACAGGCAGTCGTTGGTTTACGATGAAGGGTAAAGGTAATTTGATGGGATTTATTGGAGTTTATTTTAATTCTCCAGTTTTTACACCATTCTTCAAGATTTGTGATGTGTGATTGAAGCATTTGGGATGCAATTGATGGATCATTATTTTCTGATAGGATACATGTGTCATCGGCATATATGGTGATGACAGTGTTAGGACAGGTAGGTATGTCAGCTGTATAAACTGTATAGAGGATAGTACCTAGGATAATACCTTGAGGAACACCAGCGGACTGGGAAAAAAGGGATAAATAGGCATTATTATGATTTACTTTGAAGGATCTATCAGTTTGTACAGTAGTCCCGGATGCCAAACTCTATCAAACGCCTGTTCAACGTCGAGAAAGACTCCCGTTTTGACGTTTGACTTTTGATTTTGATTGGGAAAGGGAGGTGATGGACTAAAAAAAAATAAAAAAGGCAGGAATTTTTATTATGTGTAAAAATTCAACATAATAATTCTGAAACAAACAAATATAATTTTGAATATATAAAAAGGTTTGTTTAGTTTATTTATGGATCATTTTTGTTTTACATATTTATCCTTGAAAATATCTTTAAAAAAATACAATTGAATCTATAAAGAATTTGTTTAGATTAAACACAGGGAGTTAGAGAAACAGTCTCTGTAACTTTGGCACATTTCTAGAACTTTTTCAGCTGAAAATGAGTGATGTAAAAAAATAAAAAATATTTTTGATTTCTTAGTGTGTACAATCTCAAATAAAAGTACAACGTTTTTCACAGTCTCACTAGTCCGCCGCGGAAAATGTGAATAATATCACGTGAAAATTGAGGGGTGTTTGAATCATAAAATTCTAGGATATGTTGATATGTAAGGATATGTCCCGAAAGTAGAAGGAAATATTTAAAGAAGTATAGAAGACCTCAAGAGCCATAAAAAAAAAGTTCATGTAAGTAATGGTCCGATTTTCGGCAGAATAGTTGGCAATTTAAGTTTTGTGTTTTTAAAAATATAAGTCATGGGTTTTCATGAATAGGAAGCGATAACTAAAACATAATTAAAAAATGATTCGCTGTAAACTAGGCAAAATTTTCTTCAAACGAAAGAGGAGTTTGTCATTGTTAAAACCACTTGAAGAGGACTTTTGAGCGGATACACTAAGCTAAGTTCTGTTTTTTAAAAAATCATGAATTACTTGCGAATTTTATTTTTCACGCTCCAACTATACTACGGACACCCCACTTTTAGAAAATCTTTCTTGTTTAGTAAGCTTTAAGTCCATATTAATTACGTTGAGTATTTGATACAAAATAAGTAGAAATCCATCTCAAGCTGTGTAAAAAAATTACGTGTTTTGATATCCTGTGACCTTAAAGTACTCGTGTTTTTAGCAAAAATACCACAATAAATTATTGCAAAGCATAAATTTATTTTCACTGAACCTGGTATGTATTAACTAAATATAAATTCGCTATTTATTTATTATAAAAAAAAGTTAAAAATGATGATTTTTCAAATATTTATAAGTTAAAATGATAATGAAACTGTATTTTTTATTAAGCTATGTATTACAAATATTGATTCCTGTTTATAAGTGATCAATTAAATATTTCCAATTCTAATATTTACGAGTTCATAAAAATAATTTAAGCAATCAGCGAGCTTCTTTTAATTTACACCTATATAACAAGATTGGAAAAGTTTAATTAGGTAATAAAACTCATAAACACCCATTTGCTTTACACTTGAATCATAATATAATTTAATCACAAAATCGAGATGAAATATTGGGCCGTTTGGCCTGGTTGAACCCCAGCATGTCAAAATAAGGACGTTTACAGGCCAAACAGTCCAACCTTTTTTTAAAATTTTATGATAAACTTGTCTTACGATAAAATAGAAGTAACATGGGTGTTTATGCGTTTATAGCAACTCATTAAATTGATTAATAATTCTATGAAAAAAACTGAAAATTTTTGTAGATAAAAAAAAATTTGGTTCAAGATAAGATAGAGCCATTCACGAAGTTTTAGGCAGATGTATATAATTTGATAAAAAGGAGTCTCATAGGATAGGATAAAAAGGAGTAACATGGACTATAAGATATTGTACCATTTTTTTTTCCAAGTGACATTTTGATGTCAGTGTTCTTTAAATGATCTTCAAATGAAATTTTTTTTTAGGTTTATTGACGTCTTTTGCCAATTCAATTAAACCTGGCAACAAAGTAAAGTAATATATTATGATATATAGTCTGATTTGGAAACTTTTTCTTGGAGCAGAAGACCTCGGACCGGCAGATGCGATGGGTTTTTTTCAGAGACCTTTGCGTGAAGGTAAGTAGCGGGTCAAATACCGTCCATGGCACCAGTGCAAACCTAATTCCGAGAAAAAAAAAGAACATGATGTTGAAATACAGAGGATCCCTAGATACTGACCAGGTGTTTGATGTTGTCCAGCAGAAATTGGCCATAGAGGTCTGGACCAACCGCCGAGAGGAGTAGAGGGGGGCACCTCTGCAATTTACCGAGGGCGTCCGCGATGTTACGGCCGACACCACCTGCGCTCTGCCGTATGGTTCCCTTCACGGTCCTCCCGTCCATCTGCAACCAACAGTAAATTAATTCATTAGTTTCAATATTCAAACATATTCAAAGATCTTAACAGGCTAAAATAAAATAAAAACCAACTTAACAGGAAGTACTAAGGAGATTTAAAAAAATATAGAGTCGTTTGGCGCGACCTAAACCCTCAAAATGCCAAAATAACGAGGTTATATAGGCCAAACGGCCTAATATTTTTATGGGCCACCTTCTTTTCTCTATTTCATGATCAAATTATCTTACGATCCAAGAGGAAAGTAAATGGATATTTATGATAATTTTTTATTTTATTCATTGATATCTACAACTGTATTAAAAAAAATACAACTAGTAAATGTGCACTTATGAATATAATAACATGAAATCTCTTGTTGAGAAACTACCCACTGATAGTACTCAAATAATAAATTTACACAAGAAGATAACGAGGCCACATTCTTTTCAGACGCCTTGGAGGGTTATTAGGGGTCGACGAGGAAGCAAAATTTGAAACGAGAGGATTCGGATGGTTCCGCAGTTTGTTATGGAAGGATAGGTATCTGGATTGGGCCAAATCGGAAACATATGGAACATTAAGGTCTTTATGGATGATTTTATTTGTGACAAAGTAAGGAGCGTTGAGGATTTTACGAAGGATTTTGGATTGTAAGGATTGGATACGAGAGGAATTCGATGGTTTAGTGGAGCCCCAAAGCTCAATGCCGTAAGTCCAAATAGGTCTTATTATTGTTATATATATATATGAGTCGTTTGTAATTGATTGAAAGCTTAGAGCGTTTGTCTAGTGAGTGTTGGAGTAGTCGGAAACGTCGAGCGGTTTCTTGTCGTTTCAGTCTTGTATGAGGATTACACGTGAGTCGTTTGCGACGCAGGGTAAAGATAATCTGATGGGATTTATTGGAATTTTTTTAATTATTCAGTTTTTACATAATTCTTCAAGGTTTATGGAATGTGACTGGAGAGTTTGGGATGCAGTTGATGAATCATTATTACCAGATAGGATACATGTGTCATCAGCATAGGTGGTGATGACAGTGCCAGGACGGGTCGGGATGTCAGCTGTATAAACTGTGTAAAGGATAGGACCAAGGATACTACCTTGAGGATGATTATTTAGTAAATAATTAAATAGACAATGTTTGCCTCCTTCCAGATTGAAAACGCTCCAATTTCAAGAGTTTTCGTAAATGAAATAGTTGTAGGTTACGATGAGACGAAGCTATTTACGAAGTTTCAGGCGGATGTTAATAATTTGATAAAAAGGGGTCTGTACCACGGACTAAAAAATATATTGAATCATATGTTTCTCATCATTTTAACGCTTATCGCATGGTTTCCTGAATTCAAGAATAGTGATTATTCTATTATGAAACAAAATAATGGATAAAAAAAAAAAAAAACAATATTTCGTAATTTTACTCATTAGGTCTTTAGTTCAGTTTAGAATATTAGGTCGCCACGAAATTAATGCAGGTTTATGAATTTCAAATAAAGAAATAAAATAAATGATAGGAAACTATTTTTATTAATCAATATACATTGCTATCCATTACTTTTTGCCAACATGTTTGTAACTTTTTCACTTCCTCTAAATAGAATGTTGAATTGTTACTATTAAAAAGAAATTTGAAAATACATTTTATATCGATTTCAGATCAATACACTTTTTCTCTTTCAAAAAGTGGCTCAGAAAACATGGGAGAGAGGTATCTGGAGAGTAAGACCGAAATATTTAGTTTATATTTCGGCAAAGAAGTGCAGCGCACGCAAATTTCATAAAGACAATTTTTTAGCACGAATTTTAATTTTTTTTTTAGCTTTCTAACTGCGTAAAGGTGGTCCAGGGATGGCCGATTTATATAGAAAAGTTTCTCAGCAAGCTCTCGAATAATTGTTCTGCTATTTTCTTCGAGCAAAGGTTTCGGAGCTTTTTGGCATATTGGTACTCACAATATTTCTAGCTCTTAGGACCTTGTTCCGACCGAGCTTGGAATAAAAGAAAAAAATCGTAAAAGAAATTAACGCTTTGACATCATAGTAAAAACGGAATTATTTCCTTCTAATGATATGATCCAGAAAATAAAGAACCTTTTTTTGGAAGAGAATTAATCAGTGTTGAGACAAGAACACATTAGAGCCTACATTATTTTTCGGACAAACACATACATACGGAGCTGAAAACGTTCATCGAATTAAAAGTTCGTATGCAGTGTTTTGTTGATAAGTGAGTAAATGTGCATGATAATTTGATGTTAGGATTGGTATGAAAAGATGGATGGATATTTAATAATATCCATACTGAACTTTTTACTGTGTTTAAGGATGCAGATACATAATAAACTCAACTAAAAAAAATTGTAATATTGTCGTTCTCACAGATTCAGCCTCCGTTAGACAATGCCTACAAAATGTACACAGGATCCCAATTGCCAATTATATTTTGTTTAAAATTTTTCATTTAATTGCCACATCAAGCAATAAATTTTCATTCCAGTGGGTACCAGGGCATGTGGGACTATACGGAAATGAAAGGTCCGATCGAATTGCTCGGGTTACCACCAAAGCAATTATAATTAATTCTAAAGTTCCTAAAAAAGACATTTTCCGTTTACTAAACAAAACAATGGTATTGAAATGGCAGAATTTATACGACAGTCTCAAAGCAAAGAGATTTATTTAATCCATCCAAAAATTATTTAAAACCGTTTTTTTCCCTCTATCGGAATATGTTTGGAAAGAAGTGAGGTGAAAAATCTAATTAGGTTGAGAACCAATCATGGAAATACAAATACATTCTTAAATTTGATACAACTAAAGGCGACACCAAATTGTGAGCTATGCGATGAAGTCGAGGATCCACTACATTTAGCGATATACTGTAAGTAGTTTAGCAACAAGAGATAGAAATGTTACTAAAATAACAAAAGAGCAAGATAGAGAAGGACACAAAAAATCATAAGGAAAACAAAATTACGGTTTTAATAATTGAATATCTCAACTTTCAATTGACAACAAACTACTGATCTATAAGATAATACGGAAACCTATTTGGACCTACGGACTGGAACTGTGTGGGACATCAAAATTTTCTAACATCAAACGCATTCAATACTTTCAGTCCAAAGTCCTTCGAACAATAGTTGATGCTCCGTTCTATGTAACCAACCAAACCCTACACCATGACCTTAATATCCCATTTGTACTAGACAATATCCCTCAAAAATTTTCCAAATTCCACCAAAACTTTACATATCATCCAAATCCAATTGCACAATCTCTCTCTAGCATTGCTCATCCCTACAATCCTCCACGAAGGTTGAAGCGGCAGTGGGCAGATTCTCATCTGAAGCCATGTATGTCTGGTTACAGTGTATCTACTCAGTCTCCATTGGTAATACCAGTGATGCGGCTGAGTGAAAGACGCTGAGATTTCCTGGAGTCCTGCCTTTCCCTACACGAACGAGAACTTGAGTGACTGAATATTGTAAATACTGTATAAAAGCATGTGTGTATTTAAGTATTTATTTTGTTAGATTAGTTTATTTTCGTTTAGTTTAGCATGTTTTAGTTTATATTTTTATTTATTGTACATAGTATGAATGAGGTACTCTATATCACTATTACTATTGTCCTTGAATGTGACAGATTGTAATATATCTCAATAAAGACTATCTAAAAAAAATAATTAAATAAATTTAAATCTTGGAATAAATAGGATTTTGTGTAAAATCTTGACGCCATAAAGGAAGAAAAAAAAAATGTAGTCGACATATGTTATTTATGTAGTCGACGCTAAACTTCTTTCTTACTCTTTATATTTTCGATCCTCTATCCATTCGCTTATGGGAGTAACTACCAGCCAAATTAGGTTTCAGAATGAATAGAAGCATAAGACATACTAGTCTACAGGAAGTATGTCAAACTCAATTAAAACAAAGACAGTTTAATTTAACTGGTAATATCCACACTAGCCAGACGGATTCAAGATAATTAAAACTCAAGATTAAAGCAATCCGAGCTAAATAATAAACAATAAAAGTTAAATTAGGGCAATAATTTACAATATTGCTTTTATTTAAAGGTATAATCTCCAGCAGTAGAGAGGGATTGGATTATGATGATGATGATTTAAACATTTAAGTATAATTAGAACAATCCAACCAAACAGCTTTCTGTCTTTAAAACACAGGTGAAAAACAAATTAATCCATCAATGATTCACCAAGCAATCATCAGGACAATTAGTTTTTGAACTGCATTTTGCATGTAGATACAAGGGTGTGGAATTGGATTTTTTCAGGTAAGCTAAAAGTGTTTTTAGTATTGGGTGGTTGTCAAAGTGGAAAGATGACAGTTTTTTTTTTCTGTTCTCAATACAGATCTTTTGTCACTTTAACAAGCCTTCCATTTATCTGCCCCCAGCTCTATTGCATCTTTGTTGATTCTATCTATCCATATGCTTTTTGGCCTTCCACGTGATTTGTTTGCCTTCTATTGAGGCGTTCATTGTTACGTAGAACGTTCCAGATGTATTACTCCGAGTTACATGCCTCGCCCATTATAACCTCCGTGCCTTCATATTATGGGATATTGATTGACCAATTCCTGTAAGCAGTTATTTATTGGTCATTCTTCTTCATATGCTAGTACTCTGATCTCAGTTCGCTTCGGTTATCGAGTGGAGGACTTTTCTCTCAAATTTATCAACCATTTTTCTCTAGGATGCTGGTTAGTATACAGGCCTCACAGCCATACATTAGAACTGGCTTTATCATAACATTGTACACCCTTAATTCAAGATTTTTAGAATTTTTTTGGGGATTTTAATACCTTTGTTAGGGAGAAGAAAGCTAAATTTGAAATGAAATGAAAATATTTTTATTATCATGGGGATGTTGTCCCTTTAGTATAAATACAGAGGAAAGGCCTATATTTGTGATAGTTATACGCTGGTTTACTTCTAAGATGACAGTTACCCTCATGTTCTAATGTTTATATTTA